AGTTTTATTTTCTTGAACAATTACTGACTAAGTAAATGTCAAATTTACCTTAGAAGAGGCGCGAGCGACCGCGCGAGAAAATGCAAAACTTTGACGAATGCAAGCTTCGTCATTCACACTTTAGATTATGATTGGACCATTGCGCTCACGTTGCACGCACGCACAACTTAGTGATTAAACATTTTCAAAATTACGATGAAATTGTCTTTTTTTAAAGGCATTTTAGTATCAGATTAAGAGAGACAGAATGCATGTGCACGACACAAAACAAGCAGAGTACACTCTCTGCGGTCCGTTATCGTTCCAAATTTTTTTCTCATCTATTCCGCGCACACTTGCAGCTCGTGTTTGTATTTGTACACTCTTTTTTTCTCTCTTTCTCTCTTTTGCATTCGCTACGCTTGTTTGTTAGCCGGAGCAAAATATTTTCTATCTTTTGATAGAGTTGAGAGGACTGTTTGTCACACGTATGTGCTGCGTTCGCCGTCTAAATGGGTATCGCGATTGATTTTATTTTCGTTTTTTTTTATTTTGTTTAAAGCCAAATCATACGTACGTGGACAGAAAGGCACAACTTGACGCGACAATGTAATGGCATCACTGTCGTCCCTTGTTGTTCTCGCACACCCAAATTGAATTTGACGTCGCGAACAAAATCATTGCTCAACCAAAAAAAAGTTTGGCAACTGCAATCGTCGAGAGCTTCTGCACTCTATGCCTTTATTTCTCGTCGATAAAAAAGCCAAATAAAATCACTTAACTAAACTCGTTGGTCGCTCTCTTTTTCTTTATGTGCGTGTGATTCCGTTCATTTTGTTTGCTGGTTTACCACGTTAACTTCGCCACGCTATGTATTGCATTGTATACCCTATATTTGCGTATGCTCGATACATAGTTTAATAATCGCCAAGACTGTGAACTTATCGAACTTTTCTTTATTCATTTTCGATCCTTTATTATTTTACCTTAAATCCAAAATTTTGGTGAAGCTTGCAAATCTATACAATTTTTAGATATTTTTTTCGTTATGATCACTAACAATGTAAATTGTACTGTTTGTGCTTTACAAACAATCAATACGATTATTGTTCAATGGGTGTGATATATGTGTATAAACTACATGTTTTCACTGTAACTTAGCTATATAACTATACGTATAATTTAGAGATTCATGTAAGAGTTCGTTCTAGTTGGGATAAAGTTAGTAGTCGGTAACATAAGTTTATCCCTTAAATTTATTTTACGATATCTAGTTCACGAGATTAAACGGTCTGTGCTTTTAATTGACTGGAAGTGTACACATACTTGTTAAAGGAGATGATTTTAGGAATAATATGATTATTTGTTATGTATTTACATTATGGTTTTTCAAAACATATTTTAGCCATTTTGATTTTTCACTGAATTAATATCATACATTGCTTAAAATTTGGTAATAATTTGGTAATATCAACTGAATTGATGTTGATTCATGCATTGAAAGATTTGAATTAAGTATCGATCAACATCAAATAAAAAATATTTACATTATTGCTTGTATATCATTTTGATCAGAGTGAATTTTATATTTGATTAGATAAATAATCGCAGCATGAAGCTCAAAAAATCGTTTTCTAATTTTTTTTTGTACGTATGCGCACAAGCAGTAGACAACAATTGCTGCGATAAAATGATAATAATAATAATCTATGTTAAGCAGTATAATATACGCGCGATAATTTATATCTCGATGGTTGAAAATTGAGGCTGCGCTCGCGCGTTTCGAACGACTGGCTGCCTTTATAACGCGCGCATCGTTAATGACGGTTTTGTTCTTCGATGGCGCGTGCGCTACCAGGACGATTTATTATTACAGTAATTGTCGTTGCAAAGCGCAAGCAATGCGCTTTGTTATCTCGTTGCTTTCATTTGTTTGCCGGTACTTTCATTCAATCGTTGCCAGTTATTCTTTTCTCGCTCGAAATTCCCTAGCACCCGCATACCTGACCCAATATTGAGTTATACTACTTGCAGCGTCGATATGTTTATCGGGCATACTTTCGCCTTATAGACCATAAATTATCGCTACGCAATATTTACGAGTACCGGTTGATAGTTGGCGCTGTAAAAAAGGTGAATTCGGTTGGCGCATGTATATTTTTGTGAGCGCAGAGTCCAATATGGCTGCATCGGCGCATTCTTCTTGAGAATGGGTGAGAATAATGGTGTACATTTCCCCTGTTATTTATTTTTATTCGAGCTGTTCGTTTTAATATTTACAGTTTGAGGACAAGAAAAAATGTCTGAACTATTACCATGTAATAATGGATCGAAAACTAATTATTGGTAAAATGGTTTACTAACTGAAAAAAGTTCCCAGTAATTATTTACAACAAAATAAGACAAGAAAAATTGTTATTGTTAATTTTTGAATGAGCGATCAGTTAAAAAAAAGGAAAAGTAACGAAACAACACCCTAAACGATAATATGTCAACTAAAATTTAAGTGTCTATTTTGCACAGAAATAGTCAAACGGGAAAGCACCAACAACTAAAACAACAATAAGAACTCCTTTGGTTGTGAAGTATAGAGTGAAAAGTAAGGACAACATATCCTCGAAAGCACAAACGATACGAAATGCTTTCGCTGAAACTTTGTCGGAAAAATTTGTAAACTCTCGTGCGCTCTAAAAGCTGTACTTTGTATACATAGATCCTGCAAGTTCGTCAGCTACTTGAAAGGCTTGAAGCTAGCAGCAAGATAAGATTAAACAAGCTTTTGAATTGTTCACAGTAGTCTTGATGTCTTTTGGTCACTGTAAGCATACCTGTACATTGCTGCTCTAAATTATCCTTAACGATGCTTATTTTTAATCGACGAAGATATTTTCAAGTCAAATTTTCGTCGAAGCATAAGGAACATCATAAATATTATCGCACGATTGAGTAATACCGTTTGTAGGACAAATCGCGAGTACGTTAGCGCGCGTATAGACAAAAGTTTGTTCGTATAATCGTATCGAATTTAATTAAAGATTCTTCGAGCGTTAAATTGACATTTGCTTTATCGCAATATTGACTTTCCAAATGTAAAGAGTAAGCGAGAGAGATACTATAAATATGGCATATCAAACGCGTTTGCATGCGGACTGGATGTAATATGACTAACCACAATTTCGAGCCTGGGAAAAAGACAAACAACCGAGACGAAGTCGAGCAGTGGCGCGCAATTCATTAACAACTTTCGAGATCAAGAGGAAGAGAGTGTAACCGAGATAGATAGAGGCAAGCAAGATTTCAGTCCGTAAACTCCGCGTTTATATATACATGTACACCTTAGCACCACCGCAATGCCATCAGAGTAAGTCCATTAGACTGCCTTGCTGTATATAATATGGATACGTATACCCGCACACCTATCCAAAGAGCTTGCCAAGGGTCCTATAGATGTGTGCGAGTGCGGACAAATGGAACAATTATCACCACATGTGTACGTTTCTCACCTACTTCTCGCCAAGAGGGCATTACTATTTCTCTTCTGAGCACGCTTCAGTTGGAAAAAGTACTGGCTAATTTAATGCTATAACGCGCGGACTTGTCCAACAAAACCTGAGTACGTTATTGCTTTTTTTCTCCTGTCCAAGGAGAATGAAACTGATTGTGTGACGATAATGTGCTAATGATACGTAGCCTTGGAAATTCAACAATATTTTACTCTTTTTTTGTAAGAGAAATGCGCAGGGTCGAAATTATTTATGATCGATTGGCTTTATTTGATTAGTTCGTTTTACTCGTGTTGTAAGATTTAAAAAAATCTCTCGTGCCAAGCATCAGAAAAAAGAAACAGCGCATATGTAGAATTCGCAGGGAAAAAAGAGAAGAAAACGCAATCCATCTCAATCGTCGTTGTCGTGCACGTAGGTACTTTCCAGTATATAGCGGCGAGAGGCACGCAATCCTCGCGTATCTTTTTTCCGCGTGAATGTGTACATTATATGTACTCTCGCGAGACTACGACGACGACGTCTTTTGTGTGCTCGCGCGCATAGACCATCGATGGTAACGTTCATGACCGACAAAAGGCCGATAAAAAGACTCTTACGGCACCTTATTTTCCAGCTTTTGCCACCGAACGCGATTCTTTTTCTCTTGCTCTCTCTCTCTTTCTTTTCTTTCTCAGTACATCTCTCTTTCTTTTTTTCATCTTTACTCGTGGGAGATGATGATGTAGTCGCGTGTCTGCTTTTACTCGCACGAAGCTACAAATATTTCGTCCTTTGCATACTCGATGCGTCGCACAAAACTCTGACCCATTTGCATATTTTTCTCGCTCTTGTACTTACCCGCATCTTCGCTATTTCTAAATGTATGTACACTCGCTCGCTCCTTTGTGTAACCTATTGAGCTATATCGAGCTCTCCTTTACTCCTCTAAAATAACGACGAATACATATATTCTCGTCTCTTCTTTTGCATTTATGAATAGATATCTATTATGTCAGGATTGCATTTGCGATCGATTGACGTACATACACATTTTTACATTTATTTTTTTATCGAATCAATAAGATATGCCAATATTTAACATTGAAGCATTTTTTCTGATTCAAAATAATGAATCTTAAATAGTTGAAAAAACAACCGCTTTTAAATTGTTTTCAAAATATTAAAAATTGAAAAAAAAACATTATTTGTACAGCTTTACTTGCAAGTGCTGCGTTCCAATAAATTTTAATTAGCGTCTAATTTTAAGCATAAAAGAGTGTCAGAGTCAATTAAATATATGATACAGTCGAGCTTTAAAATAGTTGTGATTTAATACATTTCAAAGATCTAACTAGCAGTCATACGTCCGAATATCATCATGAACTTTCGAAATCCAAACGAATATCTGACTATTTCTGACAATTCGGAAACTATTTTTAAATATAGTTCTCTATTTCACATTGCTTATCAAAGATTATAAGTTTTATATTAATACCTTAGCACATTTAAAAAAATTATTTTATCATTTCCTTTCAGTTGGGATTTTTCACATATTACACTGTTACAAAAGGAGAAATCAACACATCGGGGCCGGTCCCCATCGACAGTGTATTTATTTATCGACCAGACAAACGCGAAGAATTCTGGAGGTTTGCTTTATACATGTTTCTTCATGCAGGGTAAGTTAAAATTTAATTCTTTACAATATTTAATTAAGTTATTTACTTAGTATTTAATGAGTTAACTCCCGCATGCCAAAATGCCGCTAATTTCGTTATTATACGTAAAAATCATCAACTCATTCCAAGAAATACGTTGCACTAAGTAAATTTTTGCTACCGTAGTAAGAGTTGATCAAGCCATTTTCTACGCAAGGTAAAAAACCAAATTAAAAATGCATAAGAATTTTCCACGCGTTAAAACCACCCACGTCGCAGTAGTAAAATCTACGCTTCAGCGGAAAAAGTAAATCATGCTCAAGGAAAGCACTGCGCACGTCTGAGCGCGATAATTTTGCTAAGCTCAATTGCAACGAAGCCGAGACTTTATAATAGTCTTCGCAGAGCAGGTAGACTCGAAACTAGCTAAATAATCATCCGCGAGGCGTATGTGTACTACGACGACAACGACCGATAAGAAAACATTGCACGAGCCAACCTGTATGAATGCGTGTGAGATTTTCCCGTGGGATCGCGTTCAAGCGACGCTAGCGTAGGACTCGCGCACATAATACTTATGTGTGTGTGTATATATATATATATATGTAGAGCATCAACACCCTGCGCGAGGCTCTGGATACGCACGCGGTTATTTGAAAAATAAACAGGTGCGCTGATAAGACGCACCCGTACGTAGTCGCCTTTGAAAAAGCCCGCACGTATAAGTGTACATATTCTCGGTTCATGTGTAAGACGCCATCGCGTACTTGTGCTGCATGATAATATTCCTTTTATTTTGTAAGTGCTTGAAAAAACGCCGAATGATACGATTTTTATTATCTGTAAATTTGTAAATGTATCATTTGGAAAAATAGTAATGAAACGAATATCTGAATTAAAAATTAGTCGAAATGATTGTTCGTCTCATTCATGAAAATACCAATTTTATATACGAGGTTTTTTCAGTCAAATTTTTGTTCATGAAAAATTCAACCATACAATATTTAATGTAACTTTACTGGTAAATGATTAACATTATTACTCAATCAATTCGAAGTTTGAAAATATAATGAAACTTTTTAACCTGGTAAATGAACATAATAGGAAGACATTCACCAAAATGTACTTGACAAATTTTTAAAAAACCTATCTTACAGATATTCTTATGTGTAATGATGAAATCAAAATTAAGTTTATTCGAACAAATAATGTATATTAAGGGACAAATGAATCATATTTGGATTCACTGATTTGGATTTAAATACGGAATTGTGTGATAGTGATTAGTGTCTGATGAGAATTCGCTTTGTAAAGCAGAGCGTACCGACTCATTTGATTTTGGTACTCATTTTTTTTCTTCGTGTTCATTTAACTTGATTATTGAATCAAAGTAATTCATGTTCCTTGAATTGCGTTTTCAAATGCAGAGTGAGCGTTGAAAGTAAGTTTCTATACTAACCCGCACATAATCTATTATTAATGACATTAAGTTTCATTGAAAATATTTTTTTTCAAAATAATACACAATGCTTCAATAGTAAACATTAGTCTTTCTCCATTATTTTAGTGCAACGCATTGAAAGAAATAATAATATACAATAAATGAATGATATGTGCCAAATTTCAAAATGGAACTAATGAAACGTCACTGACACATGGAAATTATTTTCATACGCAATTCAGCGATAATTATTAAACTAATGAAACATAGCTGAACAACGACTGCTGATTGTCAATACTTATTATACTACGCTTTTCGATCCTCTGCTTTATTTATTAATGCCAAAATTTCAATGGACATAAAATAAACAGACAGAAAAGAATTTATACAGAAAAATATCACTGTGAGTGTGCGTGTACTTGCATGTAAATATACAAGATATGTACGGCAACATTAGTAAATAAAATATAATTCGTGGGAACTACAGAAAACATACATGCATACATGCATATATATAGCTATACATCTATAAAGCATAATACGAGATGGAAGCCGAGGAGCGGCTCAATCGCACTCCAGTGCGAAAGGCTAATTAGCGGAAGTCCCTGCCAAGGCGTCGGGGCTCATCACGCGAACTCTGGAAGCAGCGACAACAACGACTCGCAAGAAGTGCATAATATATACTACATTATGAGATGCTGTGTGCGTTTATTGAAAAAGCAAAAGTGAATCGTGTAAAATACACTTGATGCTCTTTCGCACGTTCCTCTCTCTCGGCCTTTTGGGATACATTATTTTCGTCCGATTATAAGAAAATATATAATATGTGCGTAAGCGGCACTTAGCTCAGTTATGGTTACTCGTTTTCGTGTGTATACAGATTGATTTGTGATTCGCATAAAAACCTCCCGCTTCGCGTATATATATTGTGTAAGCAGATGACGAGCTCTTGACGTGTTGCGGTCGCTTTTGCGGCCTGCGTGCGCTCTCTACTGAAACTTTTAATGCACTCCTATATCGTGTAATGCGCACGAAGGCTTCTTTGCGGTTCTGGCAAACGTCTTTGCCGAGATTCGCTAGCACCGCTTATTTATTTATTTTTTTTTTTTATTGTTATATTAATCGTTCATTTACATTATGCACTTATACACGATTTATGAGATTGACTACGATTTTTCATGTTTTTCTATCTTCAATGTGAAAGAACACGCTTTTTATTAAACTTCGCACGCGATTGCAATTTTTTTTCTTGAATTTTAGTTTTTATTTGCGACTTTTGCATCGACGCGTGATAGCTGACAGCTTATGTTTTTTTTTTTTTTTTTTTTTTTTTTTTCAAAAAAAATAACACGCCGTGACCGAAAAATGCTGATTAATCAAAGCTCTCCACGGCAGAGAGAACAGCGAATGGTGATTAAAAATATCTGGAAAAAAATGAACGCGCGCAGCGAAAACCCATTTATCATCACCAACGGTTCCAGAGCTTTTGTATTATATGCCGAGAGAGAGAGAGAGAGAGGAACAAGCGATAACCGCACGAAAATTACATACAAGTCCGATACAATCGCTCCGGCTCGCGAATAACGGAGGGTTACACGAAGAATTTCAGGACAAAGACGCGACTACGGCGATTGTCCGCCTGCCCCCACTGGCTTCTGGGTTTGCACTAGCGACTATACGATATCTAGTCGTAGTACGGTTATGTGTACATATATATCTAAGTAGAGGGGTACTTTCTTGTGGTACGAAGTTTAACTATAATATGTTCAAAGCTGCTTTCTGTGGACTTGGTTGGCGACTTTCCATCAATCCTGCATAATCCCTCTTTAACAGCTTGTGATATATAAAGATAGATATACATTGGTCTACTAACAATATATATGCAAAAATAATGAAAAAAATATCGTTTTAGTATTAATTTTGATGTTTCAATCTATTCGTCAATATGATAAAATGAAATGCTTCCTTGCTCGAAATGAAACATCTTAGAGCAGAGTATTGCGCAATGAAAAATCGTTTTCCATAATATATTTGAATGTAAGGCATTAGAATATACATAAAATATAGTTTAATAGCTCGCTATATACAATACACGATATCAGCTCGAAGCAAGGAAACGAGAATAAAAGTGTCGATCTTGAATGAAAAACGCAGCGTAACCAGCTTGCCTGAGATATAGAGCTTGCAGAGGGTGGAATATATATCAGACATGGAGTCGTAGCACCTGTATCCCGAGCTTATATATTCCGACGACTCGAAACTTGTATGACACTTCCTATATTATATATACATATACACACGTAGCTGAACAGACACTAACGTACAAGTAGTGGAGTGCGCGGTAGGTCCGTGTATACATACGAGTGCGAAAGATGGAAGTGAATCACGCGCAGCAGCAGCAGCAGTAATACACGCCGGAAACTTGGACCGCACGAGTAAGAAACAGATTTGAATAATGATGTCGGACTGACGGCAGCCGATATATAACGTCGTTGCCGCAAGCCGGCTTCCATCCTCGATTATGCATACACCGATATAACGGCGCGCAGAGAAAAATATTCTCGGAACTACCCCCCGACACTTTGGCCCAGCCGTACACGCACTGCGATGAATATTCTCGACATTTTTTTCCGCGAGCAATTATGCTAATGTCGCGCCATGATTGAAATTTAAAATGCGTCGACTTTTTTTGTCGAAAGCTAAAATAGAGAAAATCTATATATTTTCGTCGGATAATATACTCGAGCCGCGTGATTATGCGCCCTAAATATGTATACGCGCGTAATTCGTTGCACACGCGCAGGGGTGAATTGAACCGCGAAAAACGACGTGTATATAGTTGAGAGCTTGCGATGATTTATTTGTTGCGATCGCATGTACACATACGCCTATAGCCCAGACGCATAGATTATCCTCTGTATAAATAATAACAAGTATATTTATATACAAATGTACATACGCTCGATTAATTTATACCCGCGGAATCTGTCGTTTGATTTATGAATTGGAAATAATATTTTAGCCAATAATTATAGGCAATGCATATTTTACGACAAATGAGAAAAATCATCGTTAGCGTTGATTGTGCAATTCTACTTGCGACTTCTTCGGGTTCCAAACATTTCCAACATTGATGCGAAAAGCAGAAAAGATCATTTCTCGGTCGCGATTCGCAAACGAATTTTAGTCAGCGAAAATTCGAGCTCGCGCTCGGAAAATTATCATCGGAGAAACGATATTAAAATTTTCTTTCGATATTTGCTATTCATTCAATTATTTTTTCAATTACATTTAGTGGTTGTTTGATATTCATTAAAAATGTTGAAAGTAAATGCACATAAAAAGCTTTAGTGTCCATTTGTTCATGGTGTTAGCCCATTAGACCATCACGCCACCTTGATAAAAAGCTCGGTAAGAAAAACAATTGCCAAGCGCAGCCAAGATTCAGGGTCGTCATTTTTCCTCTAATTATATCGTCGCAGCCGCGGCACCCGTACGTTCATTGCTGTTGACACCGTTGCGCGGCCACACTTTTAATGAACGTTCAATCAACGCGCGGTCAAAAGATTAATTAGTTGTATCGAGGCTACATTACAAAGGCGAGCCAGATTTTTTTTAGCCACACGCGGAAGCTTTTTTCCATTTATCCGAAGCAACGAATAATGAGCTCGGGGGTTCTAGGGCTGCCTATATCGATTTTCAATTTATCTTTGGCGTCATCGTGCAGGCCAAGGATGCTCGCATAAAGAGACAGTAGTCGATGTATATTTAAGACTGCGCTACTACTTGCAGCCGATTTTCTCTCAAAGAGCAATTGCAGTGCGCTGCTTTGTACACCGTTCCGAGTCTTAAATCAACGTCACTCGTCATTTTTTCTGACTTGAATTAGATTACCTTTTAAACAAAAAAGAAAAGGTAAGGAAATTACTCCAAGTTGTATTGGTAATACAAAAAAGTATGTACATGTATAGACGACGAAATAAAAAGTAGTGGCAACGGCTCCTCCATTTGGCTGATTGTTCCTACCATCGTTATAGGCAAAGCTCATCGATCGCAGCGAGCGAAAGCTTCGTGTGCACCCGGCAATATAATACAGGCCGCCAAGCTACAGACAGAAAGCAAAAGACAGAGATAGATACATGTATATATGTGTGTATATACCTGAGTGAATTGAGTAATTTCAAACTCGAGATAGAGGGTTATGTACTATTATATGTCTAGAACATAAAGGTAAGGATTGATGGCACGGCTAGATACATTTTTTTACCATCGCAATCGTCGTGTATTAGAAATTGAATAAATGATTTTTCATGATTCATGGATATTATCGAAAGATCGAACCCGCTTGAATAGGTACAAAAAAATTAACGTAAAATTCTCATCTATAGTATGAACTACGATTATTCAAATAGAGAAGAGGCTTGGATCTAAAGCATTGTCGAACACGCGAACTCGCGAATGACTCGATGACAGGTTGCTCCGAATGCGCCTCCTCAATCTTAGCAGTTCAATTCAGTTGGATAGAGATCTTTACGGAATTCATATCAGCCGAGTCGATGGTTTTCTTTATCGGGCCATTTTATCGCTTCGAGTGTATGTACAAGTAATATGTACGTGTAGGCAGCGCAAACAAGCTTTCGACAGTTACCACGTTTTTAGTACTTTCTTGAAGATACGATGGGGATTTTTGATTACATTGTTAGCAGTTTTTTTGTGTGTCAGATTCTACTTTGTTCCGAAGAATACTCACAATCACGTCAAGTTGATAACTTTTTCTGTGCCGATGGACGATTTTCGCCAATAGATTCTTGAAAACGGGTTGTTTCAATAAATTAAAAGTACTTTGATATGTATAAATGCTTATAGATTAGAATTAATAAAGAAGTATATTTTTATTAATACGTGTTTGAGAAAATCAAGTGAATCATACTTGGAAACTTTCACTCTGTCAGTTTTTTCATCTGCGTGAAAAGTGAAAACAGAAACTGTACACGAAGGTGCCCGCAGCAAGAAAAGAGACGCAGTCCTTGTCCTGCGCGCAATAATGTCATAAATAATCGCGGTCTCGTAATGAGAAAGTTTTAAGCGAGTGCCATTAAGTGTAACTGACTAGAGATTATTCTTTGCTCGTTGCAGAGGGAAACAATCGTAGGTATCGTACGCGCGAAGGGTGACGCTTTATATTGATAGGCCATGCAAATTGCCTATTTCCGTGGCTCGTTTCGCTCGCACGCATATAGCTGTATTTTATAGCAGGCTAGAAGCGTCTACTTCGCTTACTGTTTCGTTCGTTTTGTTTTATCTGGTCCGTGCGCGAGCCAAGCAGTACTTTTTCCTTTCCTCTGTCTGCGCATACATCTATCTATAGATATATAAACGTGCTCTAATTTTTTTCCTTCGATACGGACTTTTCATTATAATGCTCTCTTCCGATACCCTGGCCGACTCGTCAAGACTCTTGAGACGCTCCGGAACAATGAATTGTTTTTGGGTCGTCTAAAAAATTATGGCTACTTTAAATTCTTGTTTATGCAAAAAATACGCGTAGGCACGCAAGATGTTGTATAGCGCACGCTCTGGCACGACTTCGTCTTGACTTTCTTTATTTCTCAACCAGACGCGCACTCGTTAAACCGTTTGCTCGTTCAATTGATAAGGGGCCAATGAGAGATACTGCCTCTGCACGATGTTTGTTGAAGTAATTAAAGTTCATGCATTTAAATGAAAAGTCTATGTATAGCTGGATGTATTATATGCATATATAAAAGCACGCGCCAAGAGTGGGAGTTTCGTTGCACATGCGGTGTGCAGCCGAGATATATGTATATGGTCAGAAGCGCCTAGTGCTGCTGCAACTGCTACTGCTGCACGTTTTCAATGAATACAAAATAACTTGTTCCTCCCGCGTACGCCGGATATCGCGAATATATATTTTTTCCCACTTTGAGCATACTAATTTGCTCGTTATAGGTCTAAGTTAGCGATGCCCTCGCAATATAACACGATTTTTTTTTAAATGAATCATTCAGCTTTCACTCGCACTATTGTTGCAAGCGAAATTGATTTTTTTTACTGTATTATTGCTCGGTACAAGTTCCAGATCCCACACCAGCACTACATTTTTAAATGAAATTTGTAATTTTGCTAGATTTCTTACATGATTCAGAGTGGAATTGCCTTTTCAAATATCATGTCTTCCAGTTTCCTACATCACGTTCTCACTCTCTTCAATTTTATTTCTTATTCCTTTATACGTGCCTTACGCTCGGTTGACTTTACTGTCTCGTTTTTTGCCTCTTGGCGCCCCTTCTCGTGCGTATGCACATTTCGATACACGAAAAAATGCATTCCAGAGTACGCACAAATGCTATTCACGCGTGATCCACTCCCTTTTTATGACAATATTTTAGAAAAGAGGCCGTGCCGGCTTTCGATTTTTTTCCCGAGCTATTTCGAATCGGTCCAATGACCCGATGGAAAAATATCTCATTGCTTTTATAAGAGAAAAAGTCCGATGGACTAAGGTTGCGCGTGCGACGCTTTGTGCTCTCGATGCTTCAAACGTGTGGAGGTATTTATTACAAGCCATGTTCATGCAAAACAATGCCTAGCACGTTTAACTTTGAAAGTCACTCTCTGTTCAATTTCTCCCTCTCTATCTTTCTCTCTCTCTCTCTCTCCCTCTGTCTGTATTTTAGCGCGTAAACAATTTCCAAACTTTCGCGCGCGCGCGCGTTACATGTTATTCGCGCAAAGTAGAGAAGTTTTCCATCGAAATTCAACTAGAAACTACTCTTCGAAGCCAGCTCGCGCTTGATTGCTGCGTTAGTATTAGACACTTGCACACACATATGCCATTTAAAACTATACACTCATCATTGGGCTAAAGGTTAACGCTGCAGGCAGCGCGCTAAACTGCCAGAAAGTGTTTGCTCGTTAATCTCATTACAATATGATGGAGAATATAGGCAAGTTTTCTCGGCGCGTGCAGCCGAGTAAATCATCCCGCGCAGCCCAACTACTTGCCTTTTTTGGACTTATGAAAACTAACGAGAACAAAAAATAGGAATGGGAAAAAAAGAATCAGCGGAGCGATGAAAGAAACTTGCGCAAGGACGTAAAAGTTTTGCGCGAGTAAAATTTCACGCGGCCTCGAGCACGTGCGCGCGCGAATATATATATTATACATGCGCTCGATGTAGAAGGAACGAGGCTGCGCGAAGCAGTCATCTTAACATTATCCCATTTATTCGGAGCTCTCGATGTGGCCGCTACTGCGGCGGCTCATTCATCAGTCGTGCACTCGAGGCTCGAGATAAAGCTTTTCGAACCCTTGATAATCTTCCGCGAAACTCGCGCGCGACTATGTATGATTCTCCAGAGCAATTTCGACGCGATATTTTTTGAACGAGTCAAAATACGATAAGCTCGCGCACTCGTGGTCTCAAGCTAAAACTGTACTCGAGCTCGAATGATTCAATTTCCTTGCCACGGCTGATAAGCCCGAGACAACTGCGCACATATCCTCGTACAAATTTAAACGATCCTTTCTCGTGTATAGTCGATTATTTCTAACGAATGCGTTTTTGCTTATTTTTCAGATGGCTTCACTTGCTCTTCAACCTAGGTGTTCAGGTGGTCGTGGGCTTGCCATTGGAAATGGTTCATGGTAGCCTCCGAATAGCCGCGGTCTACATGGCTGGTGTATTAGCTGGTAAGTTTCGATACGTATACTTGGAAAAATACATAAAATCTAATATAATAATCAAATGATTAGCCAGCTGGCTCATGCACAAATTAATGCATTATGCATATTTTATGCGTAGCAGACAAGAAACGCTTTATACGCTCGCACAGCTACTATGTATATTATATACGTGTATGAGCACGTTATACGAGCATAAGGAAGGAAAATCTTTGAAGCGTGAACAGCGCGTACGTACGATGAAATCGCTAATATCGTGAAAGCTTGCCTGCTGATACGCGCAGGAAATATATAGAATAATCAGTAACGGTATATAACCGGCGCGTTTATTTCCATGATTGAAACGAGCCCGCATCGGTGTAAGCAAATCGTTTAAAAACTAAAGATTTGAGTCTTGTGTAAACAATTTCCCAATTATGCTCCAGCTTAATTACTCGCACTTGACTACTCCTCGAGTAGTGCAGAATTAGCATTCTCAAATACTTTGAGAGTGATTCTCGTCCTCTGCGCGCCTGCGTGTTATAGCCACTGGTTAATGGTCTACTATCAGCCGTAGACGACTGGCGGCACACGCACGCACACACACATACACACACACACACACGCGCGCGAGCAGCGCAGACGTTCTCGTATCATGGTCTGAAAGTTTTAATAAATTTCACGGCTTCTGCCTTGTGTGTACACGTACTTGTAGAGCAGCGCACACTCGTAAAGGTCAAGTTATAAGCTATTATTACGGCAATTATATAAATAGACGCCGTGAATAGAGGAAAAAGATGAAGGAAAGCATGAGTAGGTGTGCGCGCGAGCGCCAACAGACGTAGAGTCGAGCTCGAAGAATTCGCACGAGACAGAGAAAAAGACACAATGGCATTCCTTTTTGTCGACACCAAGGAATGAAGCACGAATTGGAAATACAACATCTGCACGGATGTTGACACGATGTCGTGTGCCTGGATTTTTTCTTTTTTTCTCCTTTCCTTCTTTTATTTTTCAGAAAAATCCCATTCGAGTGCTATCGAAAATAACACGCGGTCGGTGTCGCTAAAAAAAAGAAGAAATTCGAAGATCAAGGTGGAATTTAATTACTTTGAAAATTTGTGTAGCAGAAAAAAAATCAAGCATGCCTTAGGCATAATTTTATATATAAACCGTGCATTCCATACGCATTTATATGTTCCCTTTTACAGGCGTTTCACGCGCTTATTTCATATGCACCAGTACTTCCTGTGTGAAGCACCTAACACGCATGGATATATGTATGTATGTATGTATGTATGTATGTATGTGCTTCGTCTATAGTCGATTTGATATGCGTTTTCTCTCAGCCTTTGAGCTCGCTCTAGCTTAGCGTTCCTATCTTATCGTGCATCTTTCGAGGGTAATTAAAACGGCAAGTTTTCTGCATTCGTTCACACGAGCATAGATACATACAGATTTCAAATGGTCAAAGTGCTTGACATTTATTTCGGTTTCAAGCTCATGATCAAGCGTTTTTTAAAGCTCAAATCGTGCTGCCAATCCGATTATTTAAATTCATCCGTAATAAAATTGGAAATTTCACCCTCGTTACCTGCACTTTATGTTGTCTCGAGAATCTGTTTTTTTCTCACTTATTACTCTACAAGAGCGTTTCACTTGATCTTTATAATGAAATTACACCTCCGCTGAGTTTTACCTAATTGTTCGATTAATCTTCATTGTTTTGGCTGGAAAATAATAGCAATTGATCTCAATTTCCAATCAGCAGGATTAAGCATATGCGTGAACCGCTTCATTGTGCGCAAGTGGCCCAACCATCTACCTGTTTATGAATGACCTACTAAAATATCCAAAACATTTCGTTATTAATTTTCAAAAAAATTCCAAAGTCGGTCATTAAAGCACGGTTAAAAATAAAAATTCAAAATGTACGATTAATTTTCGTCAACGATGTTTCACACACAACATTGAAAGAGGCAGAAAAAGCGAGTTTTGCATCCTGCATTCAACCGCATTGGAACACTTCCGTCTATGTAGCCCGAGCGACGCACTCACGTGCATTTTTTTGGCTGTATATTTGCGTTGATATATCGGTTCTCTACGCCCATGACGGATTGGTAGACTTTTTATTTTCGGACATAACGTGAAATTTTTTCAAAGTTAAAATTTCAATGATGTCTGGTTAATTAAAAAACATACGATATAGGCAGTTCCTCTTGCAAGCGCGGCAAAACTATTATTATCGGCGTAAAAGTTGCTTGCATCGCGGACGGCTATCGTGGCACAGAACGGATGGCAAAAAAGATGAAAAAGTCTACTCTCTATTTAGTTTTATAACGCAAAAAAGTGGGACATAATTTTGGAGTTAATTATAACAGCTATAGCAGAACAGTGAACCGTTTCAGCGGGTAAACGTAGAACGCGCAATAGTAGAACGCGAAATGCTCTATATATCTTGTTGAATATAAAAATACGTTCTCTGATGAATGAAAACAAGAAAATATCAGAAATTCTGAGAAAGGATAGCACTTCCCTACATGTACGAAAAATGTAGGAGGAAAAAAATGGAAAAAGTAAGAGATAAGGTAGCTGTTGTCGTGACGCGTGCATACATACATCTTTTCGCCATTGTGTTCTGGTGGATATATCAACGGGATTTTTATGTCTGATGTAATGTATACATTAGAAAGTATAAAAGAAAACGAATGCATCTATGCCATTCCGACAATGATGAAACAATTAGTTTAGCAAGTATACACTCGTGATTTTTTTGAAATAAAAGACTTATTTATTTTGACGAATTTTTTACTTTTTTAATAATACAGTACCGTAGATCTATGCTCAAACTAAATTTTTATCATTGGGTATGCACAAAAACATTAGCTTATAATCTATGATGTTAATTGTGTTAATATTCCTCGCGTTTTCATCAATGCGCAATTCGGATAGCTATTTATCACACTAAAATAAAACTCTTGTCTTTTTTTTTAATTGAAATGCACTTATCGCTTCAAATTTGTGTAGATCGTGTCTTTGTACATTGTGCAGGTGTTCTTGATCCCATATTTTTAAATTGCTCAAGCATCGAATGTTTAAAAAGATATTAGGATTTTTTTTAAATAGCAACGTCAGTTAAAAAGTATAACGAAATTCTGTGCTAATTTAATCGCAAATATGCAACAGAAATAATTAGTTGAAGCGATCGTCGATGGAAATTTCACATTTTATTCGTGAAGTTTTAAATAGAAAATAATCAGCACGCTCCCATTCGATCATTTACAACTGAACTCCAAACTATTCGAAAATCAAACGTAAGAAGCTCTTAAGGATGCAAAAATATAAGAACATCAGAGGCATCGATGAAAACAAATGGAGGTAAAAATAGCGTGCGAGAGTATGTGCAGAGTAGTTACACTTCTCACATTGGAATGGAGTAATGATCGCGTCACCATTGGCGAAAGAGCTGGCAAAACCACAAGGTTCCGCGGAAGAAAAGAAAGAGCCGAGCGTTCAGGAGGCCAGCCAAGGATAAACGGTGAGCAAACCGTAATGTAATAGTCTAATGCGAGTGTGCAGTGCAAGGAGCGAGCGCGCAGATACGAATCGCACACGCGCGACTATACAGCTGTCATTTCGTGGGAACTTTTTTATACATACACGTATCGTAATCACAGGTAAACCGGAAATGACGACGCATCATCAAAGAATTCGAGGTACTTGACGTGTTATTTACCTCTTATCGGGTGAGAATTCTCTTTTCGTCTTATCGTCAAAGCGCAGCCGTCATAATTATTCAAAAATATCCAATCATTTGATTCATGATAAACTTTTAACATCTAGGATAGATCGACTTTTCAAAAGGTTGATTATTTTGTTTTCATCACAAATTGATCGATAATAAACGAAATAGATCGCCCAGAAAAGTGAAATCGGTAATACTAACAATTCTCACGAGACGAGACGAGAGAGATAAAGAGTAAGAGCACAGGTGTTTCGCCAACACTTTTCCCTTTACCTCGTCGATGAATACGTATGTACGCATACATATGTATTATGTATGCGTATACATTAGGGAGAAGCCATAATAGGGTGAATATGCAGCAATGTTTCAAACAGTTTCTTGCCTACTCACACATGCTCTTTTTTTAATTCTTAGTACATTAACAATAGTGAATATTTCTTAATATAAAATACAGTTTTAACTATAAACAGTATTTGTAATTTTACGTGCTTGTCATATACATTGAATTTACTTAAAATAAACTCTGGGCTTATAAAATATAAAAAAATGTGTGAAATTAGGTACATTATAAAGTGCGGTTGAACATATCCCCATTACACCTTTAATTGCAGCCTTAATAATTAATACTTTTTTTGCAATCAGTGAAATACAACGACATCAATACTAATTTTTTTTTAATTTCTGCGATCGAGTGTTATAGTATTTATCTTGCAAAATTTCATATTTTAAAATAAGCGACGATTTAAATTGGTAATTTATACTATTTTTTCAGGTTCTCTTGGTACGTCAGTGTTTGATACGGACGTTTACTTGGTAGGCGCCAGTGGTGGTGTTTATGCTTTACTTGCCGCTCATCTAGCCAACGTATTACTCAACTACAACAACATGGAGTTTGGAATAATTCGGTTAATCGGCATTTTTATAATCGGTGAGTTTTAAAAAAGAAAAAAAAACTTCATTCAACCACACGTTCTCCTAAGCCGGTCGTAGTTTTTTCATCGCAAAATTCCGCACGCTGATTATGCAAATGTCCGAGAAAGGTAATCAGATATGCTTGCGAGGACATTTTTTAATATGCCAAATGCGTCAGTTTTCGTCAGCTACTGGGTACACGGACATTAACATTACGCCCTCCTAACGCTTCTATAATATTTCTTCGTCGCTGACGTTTAATGCCGCGGACATTTCGTACTATTTTTTTCTCTCGGGTCGAGAGAGCTTTCCAGTCATTTTTCATTCCTTCTACTAATGTCATCGGAAAATGCGATATAGTTGTAAGTTACCAGAAAAAAAACCTTAAAATATCTACTTTGTGAATGAAAAAAGAATGTGGAAAGCTCCCCAAGTGTTTGAAAAATTTTCACGCATTTTCTTCTATCCAGAATTTAAAAAGGAAAATATTTTACTTTCCGCGGTGTAAAAACCAATTATCTTTCTGTTTAACGTTTACGCTGGTACTGCTCCTCTCTCTCGTTTCCTCTTCTCCTCATCCCGATAGCCGATGTATTCATCACGAGCCGTTGCAAAACTCGATTACTTTTGAACACACTTTTAATTAAGAGATAAAGAAATGTCCCGTGCACACTGCTGCGTAAGCTATTTTTTCTCGCTCACCGATTTGGTGAGTCGATACTTTTTCTCCCAGGCTGTCGTTTGTTTGAAAAAAATACTTTCAATGAAATTGTCTGGGTTACGTCACTCGCCACATCCTATATATTTTTATATGTACATTTATACTATATGATAAACAGATCTATTGTCGACTAAAATATACCTGCAAAAAGCAGCACTTACCGCTTTTTGTCATATCCGCAAAAATAATGTGTACACAGGAATAAGTCGAATAGTATTACGACATTATTTAACTTGTAATCTATCTTTAAATTACATGTCTCTCGTAGATAAAAAGTAACAGTTAAGAAAAAACATGCACATCGTACTACAAATTATCAATAAATTATCCGCATAAATTATACATTGTGTCATGTATATATTTACAAAAAAACTACCATTAACTTGTACATAGACCAGACATTTATACATCGACGCGCTGTGTAGAGTAATTTTTACCATCGATTTTTCTCTTAATCGATTGTCATTATCATTTTTAAAAGGCTCTGATGGTTTATCTAATACATATTTACACTTACGCGAGCATAAATAAACTCGTAATGTATACATTTTCCTAGATGTTTATCTTATGTTTACCGATCATCGTACGAACGGGGTATAAATGTGTGTCAAAATAATAAAAAAAACTTTTTACGCGATTATCACAATTGATAATGATTCAATATATATGTGTGAGTGAAATAGTTTATACAATTTAGCTGTTACTATTGCTCTGAAATTTATTTTTAAAGTTTACTATCTGTTCCGAGAATGCACCGCGTGAGATTCCTTCTTTTTTATTTACTTAGCTGATATGTCAAAACGAAAGTATACACCTGCGTTGCGGAAGTATAATAACTGAAGTTCTTTCTTATACGATCCCGTGCATTATTATTTATAATAGTGCATTATAGATCTAACGGGATCACTGCAGTATTTTTTTCCAGGTGCACAAAAAGCTCAGGTGTACATGTGACATAAAAAAAATAAAGAGAGAGAGAGAGAGAGAAAGAGAGAAAAAAACAATAGGGAATTGTCTCGTGCGAAAAACTGAATTTTGCACATTTTCCTGCAATGCACGCTGACTCCCAAATACGGAAATATAAAACGAGTTTTAAACCAGGTGTTGTAGGATAATTTTGTGAACATATAAGTGTGAGTTTTTCGTCTGACATGAGGAGGGTAACTAATGATCCTTTAAAATCAAACATCCCATGGAACCGACGCAAGACGTTACTTCAGTGGATGGACTCTATAGAAGCACTCAGTTTACATCCTCACTTGATTTTTTATATTTTATTGCAATGTATCGCGTAAACTCATTTATGAGAGTTCTTGAGTTTTACCATTCCCAACTGAGCCACAGAAAGTGAACAGAAGCGCTAAACGATGATGTAGTGCATAAATAGAATCGATTGAAAATTGTTCTTTTAATTTGTTAAAAATAAAGCGCGAGTCATTTTGTTTCACTTGTTGCGGTCGGAAATAATGTTCTTATATCGATTAAACTGCTGTACCTTTCATTTTTATCATAAAAAGATTGATCTACTCTTAAGTACTGTTGAAAAATAAGAAGTATAAGGTTGAATGCGCGTGCGGTGCAAAATAACTTTTTATACGCATTGCGTTTAAAATTCATTACCTATCGCAGTTTTCATAATTCGTTAGCTATCACTTGCTTTTGCAAAAGTACTGAAACATTAAACCCGAGGCAAATCTACGTACAAAAAAATCTTTTGATGCTTTTATTATCAGGCAGAATTTTCTATTCGAGCAAAGAAGCGCAATCTTTACGGTGTACTTTATTATTATTTGCGGAAGGAGCAATTAATAAATTCAGGACCACTAAAAGCAACGATTTTTTACAATAAAAATATTGTTAATCGGGCGATCATCTACGATGTGACTTTCATTTATATTAACGCGCCGATGTCAATGCTAGTTAGGTGTACCTTACCAGTATGGCGAGTAAGTGCGCAGTGGGAAAGAAAAAGTGCCAATAAAATCGGCTGGGCATTCTTCGTGTATTGTTTTACCTCCGCCTGCAGTAGGCTGCAGTTAACACGTAATGAGGTACTTTCCTGACCTTCGTCCACGTCAGTATATGCACACTTGTCTCTCTACAAAAGCCAATATTTCTGGCAAATGACTCGATTTTGAATCTCCGATAAGCCCAACTATCCGATCGATCGCTGCGGCTGTTGCTTTTTTTTCATCAGATCGTCGCATCGATTGCTGAAATAAAAAATAAAAATAAATAAATGGCAATAAAAAACAAATCGAAAATTATACACACGTGTGCCTGCACGCAATATCTCGTTGCGAAAAGACAAAAGAATCAGAGGCTGATACACGTATATATATATATATTTTTGTGCAGTGCACAACTGCGACTGCTGCGTCGGCTGATTTATTGTCATTCGATTTTACTCGTTGCTGTTGTTGTTTGCATTCGCGGCCTTGACGCGATCACACTATTCAATAGTAAATGAATGTATATATAGCGACATGAAAAGGGACGCTGATAACCCGTCAAAGCTCGGTGCTGCTGTTTGTAAACGCGCTCGAATTCGAAATGAACAGCTATTCGCCGAGCAGGTTCCTGTAAAATCTACATAACAAAACCGACTGCTTTTACCTTTGAAAAAAAAGTAAATTTAAGCGAAATTTTTTTTAGTCAAACGATTGTAACGTAATTATGGCTTGATGTTTCAGCGAGTGCCGACGTCGGATTCGCCATCTACCACAGGTACGCAGCCGAGCAGTTGGGGCGCGAGCTCGGCCCTCCAGTCTCCTACGTGGCTCATCTGACGGGCGCTTTGGCCGGCCTAACGATCGGCTTACTAGTCCTGAAAAACTTCGAGCAGCGCCTGCACGAGCAATTACTTTGGTGGGTCGCCCTGGGCGTCTACGCGGCCTGCACCATCTTTGCGATCATGTACAATCTCATGCATCCGGATTATCCATGACGCGAGTATAGCTTCGCTTACGGACACCCGATCAAAACGACGTAACGCGAAGCGCACCACGACTTCGACGACGATGCTCACCTTAGCCTCGTGATCCTGTGACTGAACCACACACGTTCGTGCGCCTCTTTTCTCCTCCGTTTCTTACCTACAACTCAACATTATTTAGGCTTTTTTCTCATTATTTCTTGCTATGCATGCTCTCAAAAATCAGTACATGCCAAAGATGTTACGCTTAGTCTGTGGGTATCAGTTGGAAAGAGGTGCACGCAGCCATCATTACGAATGTCAAGAAGCCTTATGATATTGGTTTACTTTTTAAATGACTGAGGAAGAATCGTCGCATATAATTCGAAGAATAAAAACCCAGACAAGACTGAATAAGAAAGTTTAGCGCGAAGCTACATGCGCTTCGCGCTGGACCGATGATAAATAACTATATTATATGTATATATAGTATATAGATACATATAAATGGTATCTATGTATACATATATATACATAAATAACATAGCATTATAATGTATTTGTACATAAATTAACTTTATTATGTATGAACCGAAAAAATATTTTTCTGTATAATAGGCTCGTGTGTAAATATGTACAGCGTTTCTCAAAGAAATGCTTAATTATATATGTAACAAAACATTTATTATAATACTTGTGTGTCTTCTTGTCTGTTCGTGTTAATAGTATTCTTAAGAGTAATCAATAGTCTCTCAGTTCGTTTTGATTTAGTTTGTTTTTTAATTATTTTCATGTATGTCGCAAGTAAATTCTACATTTGTTAAATGTCAAAAATGTTGTTTTTCTGTTAAATAAAAATCTTTGTGTTGCGAGAGAATTCAATTCTCTACTTGTATGGAAAAAGAAATATCTTGTCGCGATTTCTTGTTTGAGTTCCTGACTTTTTGCATATGTTATAAATTTGAAAAAATTAATAAAAAAACATGATAAAATAGTTAAATACAATTTAGCAAAATACCTTCACTGTGTTCTTAAACTGCGAGATATAACATTTAGATGTAACTCGATTGTCATTGTTCGTGGTATAATTTATTTAGATAAGAAAAAGAGTGTAATTGCTGTGAGGACTGAGTAAAAAAGCATTCACGCTCAGTAAGCTCAAGTTTGGCCGACTATAAGCGAGTTGTGATCGACGAAAGAAAAAGCTCGCCAGCACAAAAGTTGAAGCTGCTTCGCTTTGAAAAACTTTCGAAAGAAGTATCTTATGAGCTTTTGAGGAGGATATTTGAATATATCATGTATGTAAACATTATGTCTGTACATCTGTAGATTGTCGTAGTCGGGTTCCACCAATTTCACGATCGTATTTTAATTTGTACATTTTGTAAATTAGTGGAAAAATTGATTGTTTTCTGTTCGAAAATAACGGCATGAACTAAATGAGAAAGAATGTGGATGCGAGTGTTCAATAGAGAAACTGAATCTTTGATTAAAGTAATCGAATGATTCAGGCAGTATCAGTTGCAACGAAGTATTTCACAAAACGCACTTATGAATATGATGAGTATAGGTATGAACGATTCTAGTCAATTAATAGAACGCACCATTAATGTATGAGCGATAAATAAAAGGGTCTCGATGTATCTTTTTCTCTCTAAATGATCACAAGTACAATTTGAGCAGTAGTTAATTGAAAGATGGTAACTTGTAGTGTACCTTGGAAGATAAAACAGTCTTTTTCATGAATGCTATATAATTGTTCATTTTCGTTTGCTGCATAATTTTTTTACGATAAGGTATCATTTATCTTTGCATTCATGCCTTTAAAATTTATTTTAGCACGTTGTCAAATTATTTACAAATGATTTTATCAGTAGATGTTACATGAAAAATCGTCATATTCTAAATGTTAAATTCTGAAGATGAAGCCTATTTTTGTGACGATTTTCCGATATTTTTCGTAGATCTACAAGAACTCTCAGTAGATGTATTAATGTGTTAGCATTTATAAACTTATTTTTCTATATTGTATGCGTGCATTTATATCAGTTCTCAGTTGAATTATTTGTAAGTATTAAATTTCCTTTTGTGAAAGCATTTAATAAGTACTCTTGTTTGAATTTTTTAATAGTTGTGTTATCGTGCAAACATTTTTTAAAGAAAATTATGTTTTTAAGTGTAACAAGAGACACATAATTATGAAATGTTCATAATTTGAACCATTCCTCGTAAAGATATTAAAATATATTTAAGATTAATTTTGTAATGACTGACGTATTTGCTTTATAGTACGTACATTTAACAATAAAATTATTTTCAAAAGGGTTCTATAAATATAAAAACAATGAAAGGTTAAAAATGTACGGCGAATGGTTCATTAGTGCATATAAGAATGTACTGCTGATAAAAGTAAACATCGTCATGAAGGTTTTTCATAATTCTATTATTTGCATCTGTAATGAGATCTAGAAATTATATTTTAAAAGATTCTAAAGTGCACACAATTTTCAGTCTGATAAACATGAGTTAATTTAATTTAATTCATTATTGTAATAGTTAGTCAGAAGTCCACAAGCCAAAGAGGTGGAGCTAGTGTAAAAAACAGTTTTGAATGTGTATACTATTAACTCAACAATGATTCCTCGCTAGAATAATAATATTAATTAAAAGCTTATCGCTGGACGAAACAGATGAGGTGCAATGTGATGAAAACTGTAATTCCATATTTTGCATGCAATTCTGAATGCAATGAATATAAAGCATTAAAATAAAATATTATCGTTTCTTCATTCACATCTATTTTTATTAGCATTGATCAATTTTTGAAACATATATAATTACTCAATAATGTCTACATTTTTTCCAAAATGATAATCTATACCTTGATTATAATATTAATTTTAAATTATCATGTATCAAATCCAATCGTTTAATAAGTCTTAAAATCATTTTCCACGAAATATCTAATTGTACATATTACGATTTAAGATGATAGATTTTCAATCTGATGAATTTTCAACATTTAATAATTTCATATTATTTCTATTGCTAAGAATGGAAATGTTCAAATGTATCGAGATACTTTCAATTAAAGGGGCAATAGTGTTTTCTTCGTATTTTAAATATGGTACAATCTATTTACTATTGTACTACTGCTGAAAAAATTTCACGAATTAAATAACAACTTCCAGTTTGATGAAAATACTAAATTTCATATGATAATAATGATTATAAAAGAATCGTAAGTATTTGTATGAAAATATTACTCATGATTAGGGATGATATTTTGATTACTTATAGCTTTATACCTGCAGTAAAATCCTTCTTTTTTCAAGTACTGTTGAGAATAAATTGAAGTTTTATGAAAAATACTGTTTTTTATACCTAAAATCATTTATAAATATAAGAATGAAGATAATGATATAAAAAATATTTTCAAATTAAGTTAGCGCATTCAGGTTTATTTGAAATAAATTCTTTCAATTATAAAGAACAAAATTATTTTTTATTACTATTTTCTTACAACTTTATATAATAAAATAACTCCTTAAGGAGATAATATTTGTTTTTTATTTACAATTTATACATTTTTTATAGTTTACAAATATATTACGTAAAAACTAGTTTTTAATTTCATAAAAATAAATTTTCCAAGTCATATCTAATGTCTTCATCAAGGCATTTTTTTTTTAACACTTTTAATGGCGTTATATTATATTCACAATTTATTAACTCAAATTCATCGTTAAGAATTTTGGGCTCTATTTCAAACCGTGTTTTAAGAAAATGGTGCACACTAGTTTCATCTTTTAATGCATTAAAAATTTGTCTTTCCTTCTTTTCTAAAACTTTTTCTAGCATAAAGACAAAATGATGATGCATACACATAAATGGAGTAGACAATGTTGCTGTTATATTGAGCCAATCTTGAATACATTCTAAAGGAGTCCTTATAAAACCAGAAAATAATGCTGGATTGGTTAATAAACCTCCAGCAACCATTACACCATTACATTGGGATTCATGATATAATAATTTGGCATCTTCAAGTGATCGAACATTTCCATTAGCAATAACAGGAACTTGCACGCTACTAATGGCAAGTTTCAAGTTTTCCAAGTCAATAGGTTCATTTCTCATTTCTGGTGTTCTAGCGTGTATTGTCAAAAAAGAAGATCCAGCCTTTTCAATTTGCCTGCACAGTTCTATAGTTTTCTTCATATCTTTTAATAGACGTATTTTAACAGAAACTGTAAATGGCTTTGGTATCCTATTTCTAACTTGCTGGATTAAATCTTTGACTAATTGAGGTTTGGATAATAAATCTGCCCCATATCCATCATTCATTGCCCATCTTTGTGGACATCCGCAATTTAAATCTACTCCGTTGGAGTAGCTGCAAAGAAGCATGAAGACATTGATTAATTATTTAATATTATTCAAATAAAATTTTAGTCAAACTATACATACGGAGCTATCAATTCTGCAGCTGAAGTAAAATCAGTTGTTTTTTTAGCTGCAAATTGAACTATTAGAGGGGTATCACTAGAACTTGTAGAAAACTCACTATCTCTAGCTTTTGATGATTGAACAAATGAATCAGCAAGTATCATTGGAGTAAAGCAAATATCACAATCATATTTTCTCACTAATGTTCGGAATGGAAGCCTTAAAATAGTTTTTTGTTGTTTAAAAATCATATTTTAAATTTATTGAATGATTTTATCAAGTAAAATTTAACATACGTACTTGCTATACCGCACCATTGGCGCACATATTTTTGTCATTTGTTTATTAGTTAATAATTCTAAAATATCTTGCGACATTTTATGAGTAGATATAGATTCAATGAGCCGAAAATACTTGAATAGTTTAAGTCAATGAAAATTTCAGTTTTTTAAAACAGCCTGAAGTCAACGTGCGTCGTGCAACTTGTGTACATACATACACATACTACATTCGTCTGATATAGCAGACGAAAGATGAATTATTTTGAAATCTTTTTGAAAAAATTTCTTCATTACCGATAAAATTTGGAATTTAAAAATGTTGTAAAGTTCGACATTTTTTAAAATAATATTATAAAGGAGCTCTTAAAATAGAAGGTTTGAATAATTATCTTTGAAGGCAACAATTCAAATCGTACACTCTTTCAGTTCTGTCTACGAATTATTAGAAGTAAGTAAAAATTTAAAAATATGAAATAAAGTAAGGGATTAAAGAAAAAAATTAAAATATTTTTATTACATCTTTTCATGGTTTATTAATTAAAATTATACGTCAAATTATTTCTACAGTATAAAAATATTAGAGCTAGATTTTATTTTATATTGTATTTTTCTTTGAATTGTAATTTCCTTTTTTAACTTTCTTACGGGGAAAATTAGTACTCACAAATTTTAACCACCACTTAAGATCATGTTTTTTAAAAGTTGCAACAAATTTTTCTTTTAAACTAGGTGAAAGTTCTTCTTTAGGTTGCCATTGAATAATCACCCTCATTATTTTATTATAATTAAATTTACTAATACTTAACAAGCAAGATACTATGCTTTCTTTTAAATCATCATCGTCAGTGGCTTCAAAGACATCACACAATTGATCAATTATGTCTTTGACATCATTTTCTTTATCAGTAGTTGGGAACGTTCGTAAAATATTTCCTAAAAATTTTTTCAATTATTTGTCATAAAAACTTCTTGTAAATTCGTTAGAATAAAATGGAATTGTTTAGCTCTCAACTTACCAAGCAACGGTAAAATTACACTTGGTGATGGATTTACTTTATTTACTATCATAATTTTCAGTCTGTTGACAATATTTTTTATAGTCCATTCCGTTCCCATTTTTTTACAAAATATTAGAATAGCAGTACTTGCACCAGGTGTGTCTTCTAAATAAATTAAAGTACAATTTTTTTCTTAATAACAATTTCGATTCGTTATAAAATTAAATGGATTTTCATTACTTACTTAATAAATGTTCTATGAGTTCTTCTTTAAATTTTGAATCATCATAATCTGAATTTGGGTATTCGTAATACATCGAGAGTAAATTTTTCAAAGTCATAAGCTTAGGAAATATTCGCTTTGGATTCATACTCATGATTGTATGTACCAAAGTTTTTACAAAAATATCTATAAATATATTACGTACGTTATTAACTTTGTCATAAAAATTTAATTTAAAAAAATGCTCAATTTTATACATACCATTATTGGAATCATGTTTAGGAATTAACTCTGACCATGATGTTAAAGCCACGTAAATGCAATTTACAGCTCTCATGTTCAATGAATATAAAGCATCTAATAAAAAAATTCTTACTTTTTCACGATCTCGCTTGATTCTGCATAAAACAATCAGAATACGGAAAAGCCTCTCAACTAATGAAGCCTATAAAAAAAAAGAAATGGGGTAATTTTGTTTTTTTTTTTTTGTAAATGTTTTTTTACTTACTTCTTGAGCAGGTTGAAGTCTGAAAAGTTTGAATTGTAATGCTTCTACAACAAGAGTTCCAAAATCTGGATTATGTTTTTCAATGCTTACAATCAGAGTTACTAATTTTTGCTCTGAAGGAGTCATCAGTGGTGCTGGAGGTGTATGTGTTTTATCAAGAGCTTCATCGTCTGTAAACTTATAAGCTGCATGCTCAATCATAACACTAAAAAAAATTAAAAATTATATTTAATAACTAATTATTTTATGAGTTAGAAAATGAATTTAAAATGAATCTTACAATGCAACCATTTTCCAATCATTGAATTTTACTAAATTTTTACAAACACTATCATTTATTTCTGAATTCCATTCTTCTGCTTCCATCAAAGAAAAGATTTCTTCATCAATGAATTTTTTTTGTTTTCTTACTATACCATGATGAATATTGTTTTTCTGTACTTTTAAATTTTCTATTGGTGCAACTAAACATTCATTCAAACATTTTAAAACAAATGAACTTGGCAAACTAGTGTTCTCTTCATTAATTCTGTTTATGTGTTTTAATTGCTCCAAACTTTTAGCTTTAGGAGTGTCACTTTTATCATTTTCACTTCCATTATTATGATATAAATTAATTTCATTGTATGAAATTAATTGCCTCGAGCGTAATTCTCTACCAGGGCTACAATCAATGTTTGGACTTTCTGATTTAATGTTTGCGATAGAATTTTTAAGGCCAATGATCTTAGTTTTTTTCGAAGGGCTATCATTATTGTCATTGTCTATAACAGTAACTGATTGATTTAAAACATCTTCAGTACATTTTTGAGAAACCTCCAAATTTTCTTCTAATTTAATATTACCAATATCAACCGGCATACTTTTTTCCAGTTTACCATGAACTGATTCTTGTAGAGTTTTTGGATTCTCTGTCAACTTCTTAGTCTTGGATACAAAATTATTTTTGATTTCTTCTCCAATTTTAAAAGAATTTTTGGAATTCGACAATTTCCGTCTCTTCGGTTGTTTAAGAGTGGAATCTTGAGAAAATATTTTATTTTCTCCAGATTGCATATGAACATTAGAAACATTATTTTGATTCATTGAAGAAGATGGAATTTGTTTTGTAGGTTCTTTTTTTATAATATCTAAGTTTGATTCTTTGTGACATATTTCATCCAAATTTGTTGTCAAAGCTTTTGATGTAAGAAGTTTTGTTGATTTTTCTGAAATAATTTCTGATTTTATTGGCTCACTTTTAAATTGTCTCTTTTCCAATGAATCTTCGGTTAATTCTTTGGAACATATTTCGTCTTCCTTGGATTTTATGTCTTTATTCAAGTCTGTTCTTGTAGCTTTTGACTTGATTTCAGTTTTATTCTTTTCTATTTGTTTTATCTTTGATTCTTGGAAATATGTTTCATCTTTTTCAGATTCTGTGTCACTATCCAAAACTAATTTTGGAGCTTCTGCAGATTTTTCTGAAATATTTATAGAAATTATTGAGTCATTTTCAGATTGTTCATTGTCTAATGAATCTGAAAACGATTCTTTGGAATTTATTTCAATTTTTTTAGACGGTGTATCTTTCGCCAAAACTGTTTCCGGTGCTTTTGATTTAGAAAGAACTACTGATTTTTTTGAAATATCTTTCGATTCATTTTGCTCAACTTTAATTACTTTGTCCTCCAATTGATCTTGGATCAATTCTTGAAATCTCGGTTTATCTTCTTCGGATTCTGTGTCACTGTCCAAAATTAATTTTGGATCTTCTGCAGATATTTCCGAAGTATTTATAGATATGATTGAGTCTTTTTCAGATTGTTCATTTTCTAATGAATCTAAAATCGATTCTTCGAAATTTCTTTCATTTTCTTTAGATAGCGTATCTTTAGACACTGTTTTCGAAACTGTTTTAAGTACTTTTGAATTGGAAAGAACTACAGACTTCTCTGCAATATCTTTCAACTCATTTTGCTCAACTTTAATTATTTTGTCCTCCGATTGATCTTGGATCGATTCTTGAAATTTCGATTCATCTTCTTCAGATTCTGTGTTGGAACCCGAAAATTTTTTTGTAGTTTCTGCAGATATTTCCGAAGTATTTTTCGAAATTATTGAGTCTTTTTCAGATTGTTTATTTTCTAATGAATCTAAAATCGATTCTTTGGAATTTGTTACAATTCCTTTAGATGGTATGTCTTTAGCCAAAGCTGTTTCTGGTGTTTTTAAAATGGAAAGCACTACGGAATTATCTGAAATATCTTTCGACCCATTTTGCTCAATTTTAGTATCTTTATTTTCTGCAGTAGTTTTTGTCTTTATTGACCCAATTTCAGTTTTTTTCTTTTCAGATAAATTTTCGATGGATTCTTCAAAACATTTTTTATTTTCATCAGTTTTTGTGTCTTCACCCAAAGTTTTTTTTGAAGCTTCAGATATTGTACAAATTATTTTCTGCTTATTAGATTTTACGTCAATTTGTTGCTTCAATGAATCTTGGATGGTTTGAAGATTGGATGGTTTTGGTGTTGAAGCTATTATATTTTTATCCGATGTATCTACTAATTTTGGTGAAGTTTTAGGAGTATGTGCTATTCGCTTTTTTGTTGGGATAACAATACTATCATTAACACTCATACAAGATCCGCTTGATGAATTCAAAGTATTTAATGTTGCTTTTGGTACAGCAGTTTTAATTGGAAGTTTTTTGGTAATATTTTTAATATTCCGTATCTTAAAAAGCAGTTTTTTTCTTTTGGGATTTAAACCTATTTTTTTTGTTTTGGTCTCAATTGAATTTGGTTCTGTTTCTATTGATGAATTTGGTTCTGTTTCTATTGATGAATTTGAATCATCTGTGCTACTAAGGGAACAATTTGTCTCAAAATTCAATGCAGAGTCATGTTCAACATCACTCATAATTTTATTAGTTACACTTTTTTCTGTATTTTTCTTTAAAGGTTCATTAGAAACGTTTTCAAATTTGGCATCTTTTACCTTATCAATATTTTGTTCATTTGAAAAGCAGCTTGCTTCAATATTTTGGGTGCTGTCATTTCTAGTTGCATTTGATCTGTAACTTACTTCATCTTCTTCTTCATCACTACTTAGCGAATCTTTAGATGAATCTGAATCCTCAGATAAGTGTGATGAATCTTCAGAAGATTCAGAACTTCGAGATGATTTAGAATCGTCACCTACAAAACCCTGAATTTTTTCATCTTTAGTTTCATTATCAATATTTTTTTCTGGGCTCATAACTTTTGAGCTTGTTTGATTTTCTTTAGAAACATTATCGTTATCTGATAAATCTTCAATGTCTTCACCAAATATATCAATAACTGTCTGTTTTAGTTTACTTTTACCTTTCACTAAATTGTTTGGATTTGAATCTTCATCTACTTTATTTTGATTATCAGCTGCATTATTGTAAGGTACTGTCGTGTTTTTATCATTAGAATTTAGACTTCCTTGATAATCACTTCTGACTTCATTTTCTAAATTACAAGTTACTTGTGAAGTAGATTGAATATCAGAAAAAGTTTTTGTTACATTTTCTATTGGATTGATAACCTTTAGGGGGCTTGAGGTTTTATTATCGTTCACTGGATTTGGGGACGTATTTGATTGTAAAGACTTGTTATTTAATTTAGGATCTGTTTGATCGTTATTAAATACATTTTCAGTTGCTTTGGTAGTGTTAAATTGAATGCAGTTACTTTTAAGATCGTTGCTAGTTAGAGAATTAAGAGATTTTGTATCTTTAATTGTTATGAGCTTCTGCAAATTATGATCATTTCTTATGCTACAAGATTGAAGAATATTTTTTGGAATTGGCCGTATCTTTGTAGAGGTATCTTGTGTTTTGAATACATTTTTAGACAACATAGTTGGCCGATTACTTTTGAAACAGTTAATATCCTTTTTGGAATTGATAGCCTTAGAAACTGATTTTGAGTCACTTTTTATCAGCTGATCATTCGAATTGATATTTACTTCCTGCAAAATAAAATAATTAAACATTTAATTAAGCTTATTCATGATAATTTTTTCAGATCAATTATTATTATTATGAAGTTTTACCATATTGAGAGTTTCGTTTGGTGATGTATCATCATCCTCACTTAAATTTAAATCAGAAACTATAATAGAATTAAGTATGTTATTTTCATTAACATTAGAATCTTTAGTAACTATATTATCTTTAGTAACAGTAGTATTTTCTGTAACTATTTTTCTTTTTTTCTCAAGTGGTTTGTCACAAGAATATAACGAAGGTTTTCTTTTCAATCTATTATCAGTTTCATCAATTGTCCAGTTATCATTGGAAGAATTATTTTCCATCGAAGTGTTTTGGCTTTTTTTTAACTTTTTAATTTGTTTTGTTTTGTAATTTTTCTTTTCTTGTCTTGCACTTTTACTTCCATCATAATTATTTATGATGATTTTTTTAAAGTTATACTTTTTGATGCCGACGTCTCTATCATTTTTAGTAATTTTCTTTCTGTCCCTTTCAAGTCTTTTGTTTTTTGATAGTAATTTTTTATTTTCCTTTTTCAATTTTTCCATAATTCTGGAAAATTTATTTACTTCCATAAATGAAAAAGATGGTTCTGTAGAATTTTCATTCAAACTGAAAGAGTTACTTTCTTCAAAGCTTTCCTTATAATTGGGAGAATTTGATTCATGTTCAATTTTTTCTATGTTGAGCGAAGGTAACTTTGCTGAAAATAAGAATTATTTTTTAATACATTTTATTTACACTAAAGTTATTAAATGTATTAATATTTATTAAAATTCATAAACAAGACTTTTTGCAATTTTTCTATTGTAGTGTTTTAAACAACAAATAAATATTTTTAAAACAGTTTTAGAATAATACTGTTCTCATAAATATATCATGCCAATTTATAATGAAAGTATTTTATTACATTTAATTGGAGTATAATTTTTCAATTCAAAGTTAAAAGAATAATGATTTGCAAAATAAATAAATTACTTGGCATACAATTTTGAAGAACAGAACCTTACTGAGGTAACAATAATTGAAGCATTCACAAACACTTTTGTCTAAATATTATCATGAAATTACTTATTATTTTAAAATTGTTGATACATGCAAATAAGAAGTGCAAAAGGTCTTTTTATACTATTAAAAAAAAGTAAAAAACTTACCATGAGATGTGTGTAGAGGTAGAGTAGACATGGATTTTTCAAATGGTTTGGATACAGGATTACACCCACGACATTTATCACAATAAGGGGTATCAGAATAAGTTGTATTAACATATTTGTCCACTAATAAAGGTTTTGAAGCAGCTAAAATTGAAAATTGTTCTGCTAATAAAATTAGTGTATTTTATAAGATTTGATTTATAAAACTTATAAATAATTTACCGATGGTTTGAACAAATGCATGTTTTTTATGAGCAGCAGGCTTTGGATTCATTATTTTTGTTGCTTTTGTTTTTTTCATAGCTTCCTTTAATTTATCATTTTCCAAACCTAGATCATTTATCTTGAACTGAAGTTGTTCCATATGACTGCTTTTTTCATCTAATTTTATTTTCTGTTCTGCCAATTGTGTTTGAAGTTTTTCCTGTGATTCCCGCCATTCATTTATTTGCTAAAAATGTCAATATTATTGAGGTGATTGAATATTCACAATATCAAAATATAAAAACATACCATTGAAAATTTTTGGCAATCTTTTTCAAGTGCATCTATTTTTTCATCCTTTCGTTTCGTTTCTATTAATTTATCATTAAACTGTTTCAACAAGGAGCTGAAAAATTGAATGAGTTCAGCAACCATAGATGAAATTATACCAAATTATATTTGAATATTAAATAAATAAAATGAAAAGTTTTTATTGTACAAATTCAAACTTTGCATTGTTTGCACTTACTCAGTTTTGATAATTTTACTCTTCAGCAAAGTGATATATCTCAAAGTTGAGTCTGGAATGGATTTATTTTCTGCTTCTGCAGCCATGATGTTATTTTATTTAGGAGAATATGTATTTTAGTATAAATAGTAAGAGATAATGTAAATAAAATATTTCCTTGATACTCGAGTCGATTTCTTAGGTTAGGTGACTGCACAAATCAGTCTTCCAACTTTATCCTTATTTTTATTAACGTTTTTTATCAGTTCAAACTCGTATCGACGAAGCACGTAGACTTAGTTTTTCTGCTTAAATCGTTATGTTTATTATTTAAAATATTAGAAAATTTAGAATTATTATGTTACACTTACGAGTTCACTGCGTAAGAAAGAACATTTCCAGCGCAATCCTGTATTGCATCAAGTACAGTGGTTTCGCTAAAGTATTTGCTCAGAATGTTTTCCTAATAGCTTTAACCTTTGTCCTTTGTGACTTTGCCGGCTGCGCTCAGACACTTTGTCAACAAACCTTCACTATATTTTGTTTCGTCGAAAAAACAAAGTAAGTATAATCGTTCAGTGGTGAGTAGCTTTTTGCGATAGGAGGACTAAATACCAGTTCATTATGAATGATAAGTCGACAACGTTACGCGTTATAAACATCCTTAAGGATTTGAGTCTACAGACTAGATATATATAAGCGAATAGCTTTTCGTCAAAACACACGTGCTCATGTTTATTTTTTGCGGCATAGGTCAAATCGGAGATGTCGTATTCCGACTTTAAAAAGATACCAAAAAAGTGTCGGAACTTTTCCAGTCTTGCGATTGGTCATTCGAATTATAGTAAGGATAGCATAAGTATAAGTGGTCGAGCAATTAATGCATTGCGCGAAAATTTAAATTTAAATATTGAATTCAACTAACATATTTAAAAAAGAGTTTTTTTGGTTTATATAAAGTCTAAAAAAATTCAACGAACAAATTTTCATTGATAACTTATTTAAGCTGAGCGTTAGGGTCCAAGGTACGCGCAACGCACGGATTCTAGTACAATAAAGCAGAAATTACGTTTGGTCCTTTACAATAATAAACTAACATTTTTACCATGATTTCAAGTATCTGTAGATAGTTTTATGTTGAAAATTTCATTACGTTTCTTTTTGGCATTAGAAAAAAATTTTTTTCAAATATACATCAAGTGCTACAAACCATATGCGTTAATTAATTTTTATATATTATTAGTTAACAAAACTCTTTATCGCGTTATTCAAAAGTATACGAAAACATACGGTTACTAAAATTAGCATTTATAATTTTGAAAAAGTTGATTGAAAATTGCTTAGACCCAAGTGCGATTATTCATCAAACAGCTCGAGCCACTGTAGCAGACGTATCGGCCCACTGCGACTCTGTGACAGAACAGATCGAAGACAACAGACGACACACGTGCGTTCGACCACCAACTTTGTTTACTTTATTGACTGAATGTGCCACATGGGTCGGTATAAGTTTTTCGTCTATTTCGTTCAGGTTCATTCACAGTATTTTTAAATGTTAATAAAAATCGCGCGTTGTAAATATATGAAAGTATTCAGTAACTACTCAAAAAGTATTCAAAATGTTCAAGGATGCGGAAAAAAAAATTTTTGCGGCTTTTCAAACTTTGTCTCAAGAATCGAAAGGTTTGATTTTGGATAACGTAATTTTTGAAAAAAAATGTCAATCATTCTCTTATTATGATACAAATATTTTCATTTTCTAGAATTATACATACCCAAGGAAATTCCAGAAATAGAAAGCGATGCAATATCACCATTAATTTTTTACAGGGAATATGTATCAAAAAATATACCTGTTATTATACGAGGTGGAATCAAACATTGGAAAGCAATCGATAAGTGGAATATTCCTTACTTTAGAGATAAAATTGGTGATAAATTAGTACAAGTTGCAGTTACACCCAATGGTTATGCAGATGCAATAGCTAAAGAACTTCCAGTCTCAGGTACCTCTGATCAAGAATATTTTGTAATGCCAGAAGAAAGACACATGAAAATGAAAGATTTCTTAGATAAATTGGAAAATCCAGAAGAAAGTATTTATTATATTCAAAGACAAGATTCTAACTTTGAAGAATTTTCTGAACTTTGGAGAGATGTTGACAATCAGATATCTTGGGCTACTGAAGCTTTTGGAACATCTCCAGATGCTATTAATTTTTGGATGGGAGATAAGCGAGCTGTAACATCAAGTAGTGTATACAATTTTTATGCCCAATTATTTTTAATTTTAATTATCTTGTAAATTTAATTCAATTCTTAGTGCACAAAGATCCTTATGAAAATATATACTGTGTCATTTCGGGAGAGAAAGAATTTATCATACATCCCCCAACAGACTTACCTTGGATTCCCTACAATACTTATCCATTGGCTTTATATAAAGAAATACAACCAGGAAAATGGATAACAGAACCTACCAAAAAATCAGATATCAATGATATTAATGAGTGCAATAAAAGTGATCAAATACCTTGGATAGCTGTGAACCCTTTGAGTCCTGATTATAATATGTATGTTTTTTAATTTTTTATTTTCTAAATTTATTATTAATTAATTACAAAATTGATGTGAAAATTTTTATTATAGGTATCCAAAGTATAAAAATGTGACAAAATTAATAGCTAAAATAGGTACAGGTGATATTTTTTATTTGCCTTCACTGTGGTTCCATCATGTCAAACAGTCTCATGCTTGTGTAGCAGTAAATTATTGGTATGACATGGAATATGATATAAAATATGCATACTACAAATCATTAGAAGTATTGTGCAATTCGTAAGTAATTCAAGATTTTACGGAGTGTTATTTTCTTAATATATCATTTATTTAAATTGATTCTTAGACATTCTTACATTTGACGAAATTTTATTAAATTTAAATGATTAAATTTATGAAGAATTTTCTTTAGTAAATACAATTTAAAATTTATGTAACGACATTACATAGAACAAATAGATTACTTTGTAAATTAAAAATTGTTGAATTAATCCAACAATAGCCTCCAGACTTTATTTATTAATTAAAAAATCAAATGCCTACAGAAAATTAATGAAAAACCATCGAAAAATTGTATAATTCTTATGCTAAATCTTACAAGGTAAACTGATCGATTTCAAAGTTCAAAATAAATCTTTGATAAATTTTTATAAAATTTATACTATGATACATTTGGAAAATAAATGTACTGATTTTATTTGTGAAAATTCTTTTGAGATACGTGAAGTTGAAACAAAATTCAAGTGAATTTCGATTAAAATGACATCACGTATAAAATTAACTTTTCGGTGTTTTTCATCAGTGTTCCATCATTTCTTCTTCATCCTCTTCATCATCGTCCATTAATCTGCTGGAATTACGACGGCAGATTCGTTTTGGTTGCTGAGTTTCATAACTTTTACGATTTTCAAGGTAACGACGGTAGTTATTTTCTCGTTTTCTTCTTTGTTCTTCAGCTTGTTGTCTTAAACGTTCAGGATTCATGTGCGTTGTTACCATATGTCTGGTTAGAGAACTTGAGAACTTGTAAGTAATTCCACAAACATTGCAAGAGAGTATTTCTTCATTTGCTCCTTTCTAAGAGATAAAATATACTTTTAGATATGTATTTTTTTCATTATGTTACTGAAGCAAAAATATTATTGATTTTATATGATTATACCTGTTGGTGCACCATCATATGTCTTTGCAAATTATTCAAACGATTAAATTCCCTTCCACAAACTTCACAATCAAATTTTCTGTCTGGATCATGGTTTTTCTTATGAATGTTGAGGTCAAAATTGTTTGCAAAACATTTCTGACATATGTCACAAACATGATTTTTCTTTTCTGCAGCCATGTGTGACTGCTCATGTTTCATTAAACTAGATTCATCTAAGAAACGTCGTCCACAGTAAATACAAGGTAATGGGTGAGAGTCAGGGTTATGGGTTGACAAATGTTTTCGTAAAATATTGGCAGTAGGGAAGGTTTTCTGACATTCTAAACATTGAAAAGGTCTATCTTCAGTGTGCAATTTTCTGTGACGTGCCAAAGAATTTTGATCAGTAAATCTAAAAAGTATGGAAATAATTTTTATCAAATAAGAATTAATTTAACTTTTTTAATAAAATAACTTTAAAATAATTATTCACCTTTTAGGACACAAATCACAAGGGAAGTTTCTAGTGGTAATATCTTCCTCTCTTGCATGTTTCAATCTATTGTGCTTCAGTAATTGTAATGAAGATTTAAAAGTTTTATTGCACAGCCTGCACTTTGCTGCTGGTTGGGTTGGTATAATAACTTGAGTGCGTTTTTGTCCATTTTCATCTTCAGATATAATTAATGTCATGGTCATAGTATCATCTTCATCGTCATTTGTTTCACTGTTTTGCTAAAATTAAATATATTCATCAAGTAAAATGGAATGAAAATGATGAGAATTACATAACTAATTTGAACAATCAAATATACCCTGTTTTTAGAAACATCTTGAAGATCTAAATCAGGTAAAACATAATTTTCTGTTTCTTCTGATTCTTGTTGAACTTGATTCACTTCTTCTTGAGCATCTTGGTCTTCCTCTTCTGCAAGTGCATAATTACCATCTGGAGTTAGATACACCGGTTGGAGTTCACCTTGTTCATTTTTGAAGTATAATTGTCCATTTTCATCTTCATGCAAAAAAATTTGCTCTTGTTCTGTCTGCAATAAATTTAAAAGTAATTATAAGTTTTTATCATATCTGATATTTTTTTTAGATATTACACAATATACAGGTTAATCTTGGTTTCATTATTTATTTAAAAATTTTTTTAATCTTGTTGTTTCTAGTAAAATTAGAATTTAAAAAAATTCTTTTTTCATTTTTGAGAGTTAAAATAAGATTTTTCATTAAAAGTATCAAAACAAAATAGAAAATTTTAATTTAGAGTTTTTAGAGCCGGAGTGTATGCAAAATATCCACTCAATTAGGAAATAATTTTCTAGCACAACCATTACAATAGAAATAATGTACTCGAAATTTTAATTTTAAAAGGAAAATTTTACCACTTCTTGTTGGGTTTCCACCTCAGCATTTGATTCATCCCATTCAGCATTTTCTTCTGCTGGTGTTTCATTGGTATATTCATAGTGTTGTTGATCTTCAACCGATGTAACATATGATCCGTCTTCATTTACAGCATAATAAATGGTACCATCCTCTGCAACTTCAGAGTTCTTATATTTTTCAACCTGTGAAATAACACATTGTTAACACTACTTTATTTAAGTTAGAGATAAAAAAATTTTTTTATATACCTCAACAAATTGTGTTTCAGTTTGTTCATTTTCTTGGACTTGCTTTCCTTGTTTCTTGGTATTTAAAACTGTGTAAACCAAGTTATTTTCAGCATTTTGGACAATTTCTTGTTGACTATCATTATCATCAACGCTATTTTCTTGAGTTACACCGTGCTCATAAGTGGTTTGTCTAGAATTTTCATTTTCTTGATTTTCATCAGCAACATCTGAGGTAACTCCGTTATTGTAGTTAGTATAATTTTCATATTCATTACTGTTGTCGACTTCTTGATTTTCATGTTGTACTTGATTAGTTTGTTCGTCTTGCTCATAATCATCGTCTTCCCAATCAGCAGATGCATCATAGTGATATTGATTATTAAGTTTTTCTTGAGCTGCTTCTTTGACCAAATGAGATGCATAGATGACCTAAAAAACATATAAAATAAAATAAAATCAACACCCAATTTATGTATGTTTAATAAATTATTAGTAAAAAATATTTACTTTTTTGGTAATATCAGGATTATAAGGTACACCATTCATTTTTTGATTACCACAATTTTGAGATTGTTCAGTTTTTTCAACTTTTGCCTGACCTGAAAGAGAATTTTCTTCTGTGTTATCATCATCTTCATCATACACTTCTACAATTTCTTCAACAATTTCTATAATTTCTTCAGTTTCGGTTTCCTCGTCTACATTTTCTAGGATGATTTCTTGGCCTTCTTCGGCTTGATTTAATATGCTTACAATATTCTGATCCATATCCATATTTATCTTGTCTTCACTGAAATTCCAAGGAAAGTATTTCAAAATATTATTTACATAACAGTTTAACTTTTGTGCATTATTTTTTTTAATACTGGTCAGTAAAGACGAAAAAAAATTGATTTTCATCTATCATAGAAAAACGTAAGATTTTACTGAAAAGAATCACCGGTACTAGACTCAATGTAAACATACTTTGAAGAACGTTAAAAAGGGCCTTTATACAATTATCAAAGTTGTGTACATACAATATATAAAAAAAGATGAAACTAAGGCGTGGACACGAAACATTGAAAATGACTGATCGTTCATAACCTTGTTTAACGCAAATATATAAAATCTACCTTGAACGAAAATTAAAAAGAACCGCTGGGAGTTGTTTTGATGTATAAACAAACTTTTCAGTACACTTTTCACAGTTAGAGTATGCGCTTGTTTCCAAATTGAAAAATAATCAAATTCGGCTGAGTAAAATCAGTCGGTATCAACAGACTGCATGTATTAGTACTATATAGACGAATGAAAAAGGAGACGCACTGCTCAAGTGAGTGAGCAGTGGCCGCTATGTGGATCGTGTACTTATCATCAACGGATAGGAAAATGGCTGCGTTGACGGCGGCACGCATACAGTATTATGTACGATTCTTTTGGGGCATTTCATTGATTTTTTCAAGGAAATCTAAGGCCTTAATTGTTCGAGGTGCAAGATACCTTTAATTTTTAACTCGTTAGTAATTACAACGGTGATTCCGTTCGCAAGGCACTAAGTTATTTTCTCGTCAAAGCTCGATCGTTCATCAATTGCCGTTTACTTTACGTTAGCCAATATGTAGTACACATAACACACAGCAAGATGATACTTTTTTCGCTCAACTCGGTCGATACACTAAAGTAAACGAAAGCGCGTTCGAAATAGTTTGCTGATCGGAGTTCATGGAGCAGGTTGAAAATTTGCAACAACTGAAAGCCGGCTACACCGGAATAATCGAATTTGTTTAGATTACATACCAGTTATAGCCTTCAAATAAAGGAATGTGTGTGCTTTAGCCTTCCATAGGTATCGTACGTACACTTCACCAATGAATGGCAATGTCGGTGTGTTGTCGCGGCTTTTTGCGCACGCGTTTATGCATCTTCCAAAAAAATGCTCAATTTAAGACCGGTTAGTTCGGAGTTTTAAATATCTTATGCTTTTCAACTTTGAAATAAAATATATACTGAATAATAGTATAATAAATCTAAAAATTTTAAATTCTTTTTGACGAAAAATCTGATTCACTTGTTTTTACTTAAACTTATAATAATTTTTCTCAAACAGATTTGACCTATGAAGAAATTCTTACGATAAAAATTCAACGATTTTTTTTTAGGAATGCTTATATTTTTAGATTACTTTGAAATATCCTTATGAAAATGATTTGAAGCATATTTGTCACAAAAAATTACAATTTCTAGTCATATCGTATCCATAGGGCGTACATTTATATGCATTCATCAGCTCATTCGAGAAAAAAATAACTGATAATTTATTGCAAGGAGCAAATGTACCGGAAACTACTAATTGCATCGGGTCTGCAGTAGTGCGTAAAATATAGCAAACGTAATGTTAGACCTATATCTTAAAAAGGCAAGCGACTCGAATTATATAGGCCAAGCGTGATAATGATACTGCGAAAAAGCGAGAGTGCATCAAGTCAGCAGCGTGTCAATTAATCCGTGGCCTGCTGTACAATATTTGCGCGACAATGAAAATTAAACACATAAATATTGCATAGATGTGACAAGCAGATGTTACTCATGTTATAAGAGCACATATAGAAGTAGCAAAAAAAATCGTATTGAGTTAGGCATATGCGAAATATGCACGTAATCTCATAAACACGCAGATAATTTAGCATGCTGTTGTGTTTCTGTTTGTGTAATGTTTCTTATGTGTATAACACCAACATAATAATAGACATAACCTACTGTTTGTCTGTCAATTGTCGTAGGATGTGTAACATAATCAGTGGTGGATAGATAACTCTCGCTTATCTAGTCTTCGATTTTCCAACTTTTTATTTCTTTCTCTCAGTGCTCGCAGGTGCAATCTCTGTGTCATTTTAGGCACATCGATAAGTCGTATTGAAATAATAATGTGCATAAACAATCATGGAGCAGCAGCCGGAGCCGCAATGCTGCGTTAAGGAGCTCGATTTGACGTTGCAGCCTCGGATAGCACCCCGTTATAAAACCTGGTTGCCACTTGCGACCCAACAGGTGACATTTAGTTTTACATTACAAACGATTCTTATCAAAAAGCTCCAGACGATGTAAAATCAAATCTTGTTAATTATAGTATGTCAATGATTTGAATCTCAAATAAAATTATATTTTTATTTAAATTAACTAATCCTTCTCTTTTAAAAAGTAAATTTTTAATAAATACTGAAATAATATCTGTTATCTATACTAAAGTTGAGTTTATAAATGTTTATTTCCAGCTTCGATTAAGGAATTTAATTCAAATTATTGGGCATAAGCTTGAACATGATCAGCAAGAAAACTGCTGGTACTATTACACTATTCATAGGACATGTATGTCATCGCCTTTGTATACTAGCGAACCAATTGATAACTCTAGTCCAAGATGGTCAAGTCTGGAAGTTTCTACTTTACATGGAACTGGTCATGCTAATTCTAGTGGTAAGATGAGTGCTAAATCTGAAAAAAATAGAAGATAAGTATATTTTCAATATTTTGTGATCATTTAATTTACAGAAATTATACTAAGGCTATGGAAAAGGACTCTAAAAGATGATCCATCATCAGATGTCACTGTGTTTACTTGGGGTATATCTTTTACTGGATTAGCTTACATTAGTCCAAAATTACCCAATGATTTGGATAATATTGTACATGACAATACCCTTATTTTTCACATTCACGGTGGATTTTTTGTACCACCATTTTGTCTGCTAATTGTCCCAGAGCCCAAAAAACTCCTAACTATAAAAGTTAATGCATTTGAAACAAGGGATAGTTATACTCTAAGTAAGCTATGCAATTTAAGAAACAAAATGCAAGCTTTGAAAAAACAAACAGATTCTGTAAATAGTTTGAAAGAAAAAATAGCGTCTGGAGAAAGTTTAAATATTCAGAAGTATCCTCAGCCTCAATCAAAGCTGAATAGATTACTACAACCTAAGAAAGTAGATAGAGAGAAAAAAGCTGAAATTTTAAAAATCAAAAAAGATTTAGAAATTGCAAAATTTAGAACAAAATTATTGGAGCAGGAGAGAATAAGAAAAATGGGTGAAATTCGTACATTGAATCAGTGTCACTCTGAATTGATGGAAGAAAATCAAGATCATGGTAAATTTTTTTTTCTGATCAAACAATTTTTTCAGCTAAAGTAATATTATTATTATGATAGGTTCAGATCTAATGGGTAGATACAGAGATTTAAATAAAGAAATTGAAAGGCTTCATGAGTGGCGCCAAAGTCATGCAGATACTAGAGAAATATATTTGCAAACAACTGCCTGTCTCGCTCATCGTAGAAGGCAATTAATTGCTGCATTAAATTATATATATCCTATCAGTAAAGTAAGGTTTTTAAGATTTCTAAAATAAAAATTTAATTTCACTAACTTATTTTGAGGTTTGAAATTTTTAATAAACTATTAATACTATTAATTTCACCATTTACCTAGGAACAAGATGATAAGTTTTTAATAAATAATGTTCATTTGCCTGATAGTGAAAAATTGGAAATGGCAAATGATACTCAAGTAGCTGTAGCTCTTGGTTTTGTTGCTCATACTACTCAAATGATTGCAACCTTTTTAGATGTACCCAATAGATATCCTATAATCCACTATGGATCTCGGAGTAAAATTGTTGATCATATTCAAGAACAGCTTCCAGACCCTAATCGACAGTAAGAATAAAAGTTTAATGAAACTCTATGCAATAAATTTTTACTCAAAAATGATAACTGTTGATGTTTCAGATTTCCACTTTTTGCTCGTAGTAAAGACAAGCTTCAATTTAATTATGCTGTGTATTTATTAAATAAAAATATAGCTCAATTGCGTTGGTATTGTGGACTTCCAACACCTGATTTACGTGCCACTTTACCTAATCTTTCAGGATTAATAAATATTAAACCAAGTCATATGTAAGTTCTTACTTATTTAAAAGACAAGTAAAAATATTCATATTTAAATTGTTTGTAATTTTTTTTTTAATTTAGATTGGATAGTTCAAAAAGAACATTTTCTGGCTCTTCATTAGATATTGATTGTGGAAATAATAAAAATATACCTCTCACTCCACCAATGCATAAAGCAGTGTTAGAAAAATCTCATAAAACATCTCGATCTATGAGCCACTTTAAAGGTAATAAAATTTTACTTGGCTCATCACTTGATCAAGGTTTGAATCAACCATCCATGCAGTCACATAATTTAATGAAACAATCAAAGAGAATTTGCAAATCTGAGGAAAGTGCAATTGATAATGGAATATTACCTGATAACATGTGTAATAACAGTAGTGATGAAATTATTGATAAAACTATTTTTGATGAAAAATTGAATTCCCTAGAAAAATGTCAAAATAATGCAAATGATGATGCAGCAAATAGTAGTGCAATTGGAGATGATGATATTGAAATAATGATACCAATGTCAATATCAAAATCTCAAATATGTTCGGATAATGTTAATAGTTTTCATCCTACAAATGTCAGACAAAGAAGTTCTAATTCAATAAGCAGTTGTGAAATGGCTCTTAGTGGTATAATAGATGGAGAGGATAGTTCTAATGGAAATTCATCCATGAAAAATGAAGATACATTTGATGGTGTTATTTATAAAAATAAAAATGTACAAAGTACAGATACCAAAAATTATTCAGTTGATGATACTGATAACAATGTAAAAATTGTAACTAATACAATTCAAGTAGAAGAAATAGAAAAAGGTCAAGCAATTTGTAAAAACAGATCTAATTCAAGTTTAGATGATTGTGATAATATACAGAATAGTTCTAAAAAAAATATAGAAGATAGCTCAGTGTTACCTTTAAAATCAGAAATAAAATGTGATATTCAAACAAGGTACTGCTTTTGTAAAGATAAATATTATCTTTTAGTTGTTTTCATCCAATTTAGAAACTCATTTTATCATTGCTTCCATTGTAGACCATCATTTTTGTTTGATTTTTACTTTCTCATTATTCCAGTCTGACAGCAGAATCTTTTCAGGCAAGACCAAGAAAACACTCAGGGACACCTTGACCATCCTTGCACAAGTGAGCTAGAAGCTGCTGTTCAAAATGATGAAGAAAAATCTTGTGGTTTAGAGGTACGAATATATTTTTATTTTCATAAAATAAAAAAATTAAACTTTCCAAAGATGTTAATGAATTGTTTGGAAATTTTCTTGTACATTCACCATTATTTCATTATTTCATATGAAGAAAACGATGAATTTTAAAATAGTCAAATAACTTCAATAATATTTTTATTATAACTGATCATTTGTTCCATGTCTTTAATTATATTAAATCGAAATTCTTGAATATACTGTTTCCATTGATCTATATATATAACTAGCGACCCCGTCGTGGCTTCGCCCACGATCAATTTTTTCAACTAATTCGACTGTTTAAAAGATCTTAAGCAGGCCACGTCAAGTGCGTAGTAGAAAATGTATAAGTTGAGTCCGGACACTTGTAAAACTCGAATAGCGTAATAACACATGTACACATCAAATACAATGTATTCCGATTCACCGCGTGTAAAAAAAAAACTGTTTTCGGTCTTTTTTATAACCATTAACCGAGACAGGGGCGAGCGAGAGCGCGAAGAGGTAAAATACGAAAAAAATTCTGAACTTAAAAATAAATAAGCAAATAACGGTTTTAATATGATAGAAACCTGCGCAGTGGTATAATATATACGTGGTAAAAATTTCAAGCCGATTGGACAAATAGTTTTTGAGATCATAAAGGACAAACAGACACCAACTTCGCTTTATATATATAGACTTTTTTTTCTTTCAGAAAAATAATGAAATGAATGCAAGTATAGATGCAGCAAAAAGTGTGACTAACAAGCAGGATCTTACATCAACAGAATATATGGATTCAATAAGAAAAAGTTCTGAAAATGTCTATGCACGAACAAAAGCTTTAGAGAATAAAACTACGAGTTTCAAGATGATTAGACCTCGCTTGTGAACATATGAAACCATCATTTTCAAAAAGTATTGCATTACACCACTTATAATTAATATATAGTTATATTTTATTTTATAAAAATTATTGTTTTGCATATTTTACACAAATCCAAATTTTATTTATTTTATTTACGTAAATAACTTAAATGTACATAATGTGTATAAATAGACCTAATTTTTACAGACTTGAGTCTCTCTTAAATGAAATTATTAAAATCTAGATTGTACATATAAAAAAATATCGCAGTTGTATTTCTAAGAGAATGAAATAAAAATTGTTGATTTTGGGACTGTTCACACGATTCTAATTTTTACCTTTTCTACGCCTATGCCATTTAATCATGTATTAAGATTATGTTCAAATAACATAGGTCAATTTTTAGTTTATTGAAAAAAAATTTACAGTTCTTAAGCTAAATACTATACTCTTCTAGAAGTTTACTACTAATTTTCAAAATATATATTTCTGAACTCATTCTTTCTTTTTCAAACAGATTGCTTACGATTTTCACATTTTTATGGCACTAGATAATTACATCTAATTTGAGCGTCTGACTATTCAAATACAAGTTGTTTTTTTAATTAGATAAGAAATAGCACATTTTTAATATACATTTATGTGCTGTGATAAATTATACAGAAAAAATCATAAAGTTAAGAACTTTAAAAGTTTGCTTTGATGATTTTTGAGATTTATAAAATTATTTTATGAAACAATTTTAATCAATTCACTTAACATAAATGATATATATTTTATTGTTAATTATATCATTAAAAAATAATAATAATAAAATCTATGTTGCTTCATATCATTGTCCCAGTATATACCAATAACATAGATTTGGGCCTTTTTTTACCTCTGAGTTTAAAAAGATACTTTTCTCAGGGATTACAAAATATGAAATTTAGTTGCTCATAAATTATACAATGTTCAGGATAAATTTCATCAGTAGTATTTTTTTAATAATATCTTTTTAAATATGAAAATGAATTTTAATTTAAATATAATTATCAATAATTAAAAAATGAACTTAAAACTAGAAAGTGTAAAATTAAGTAGAAGCTTGTTCAAGACCAGTCAACTGGGCACTTACATCCCACAATTTATGACCAATTTCGGGCACTAACTCTTTCTTACTTTTATATTCTTTACAGTCCCTGTACATTTTTCCACTTTCATTGACCAGAGCTGGATCAGTAGCACAATGTAAGATTGTTTGGGCACCCTAGAAAAAATATTAGCATACATCTCTAGTGTTCCTTAAAATTGTAAACATTTACCAAAAAAAATCATAACTGTGTTACACTACACAATGATGAAACTTACTTGATTTGCAGTTCTTAAGAATAATAGTGCTACTGGAGAAAAAAGTATGTAATGGAACCAGCTTCTTTTTACATGCCTGAATAAGCCGGTGTAAGCAAAACCAGGACATACCATGTACACGCTTACACCACTATTTTTTGTCATTTTTGTAAGTTCATTAGCAAAATATGCATTTGCTAATTTTGAATTACAATACCCTGGGTTCATGCGTCCTTTCACTGGTAACTTTTTTTCCCCATTTAAGTTATCAAAATCGATTGTTCCAGATTCCAAAAGTTTTGATGTAACAACTACAATTCTGTTTGTCATAATTAAAAACATGTAAGGAAACTTATAATTTTTATAAAATAAAATAATTTTTAAATTGCATTTACCTGCTTGGAGCACATTGTTTTAATTTATCCAACAAAAGATTAGTCAACAAGAAATGGCCTAAGTGGTTAACTCCAAAATGGATTTCAAAACCTTCTTTTGTAAGTTCCTTATCTCTATCTTGTAATGGCACATACACTCCAGCATTATTTATTAGAACATGAATTTCTGGAAAATTTTTTAGTATTTCTGCAGCAAAATGTCTAATGGAAGTCAAGGAAGACAAATCAAGTTCCATAGGAATCTAAATCATATTACAGAAATACCACAAATAAGTGCAGTTCTAATTAATGATTAAAAGAAAAGAATATCTTACTAATTCAGCACCCAATGTAGAACTTCTTATTTCTTGAATTGTTGCTTTTGCTGATTGCAAATTTCTGCAGGCCAGAATAACAGTAGCTTTTCGTTTAGCCAACTCACGAACAGTTTCTTTTCCAATTCCAGAATTTCCACCAGTTACAATGAAAACCCGACCTTCTAAATTACTTTTATTTTTGCATTTACCCCATGAATATTCTCTACACTTTCTCAAAAAACCAGCAATCAGAACAACGGGAAAAATAATATAACATAATGTTACAACCATTTTTAGTAACTTGAATAAAATTTGACTAGATGAAACCTTATTACTGGTAATTGATGTCAGCTGAAAGAATGAAGAATAGACAAGATTTTTATCTTTTCAATAAGAATTTTAAAAACCTCATGAAAACTGATTGTCATGATTATATCATAAAAGATTGCATGCTTATGCGATCAAATTGTATTTTAAATATGTATAAGGAAAGAAAAATATTTTTTATTATCATAGGCTGTAGACACTCAATTTAATTTCTATTTTTAAATAAAAAAAATCTAAAGCTTTTTTCAAATAATTTTGTGCAAAATTTTGTAGTAAAATGAGCTTTTTTTCAAACACTGATACAGATTATTTATGCCAATTTCGCGTCTGCAATATGAAATGTAGCCAATAATGCAATCAGTCAAGTGTAAATATATTGTTTGAGGATGAATTTTATGTAATTACATACCTCTTTCTTCAAAGAAGACGGAAAACAATCGATATTGCCATTTCAAATAATATATCATTAATTTTTTTATTACAATGGTAACCTATTAATCGAAAAATTAAATAAAAAACAATTGATGAGACGAATGGGTATTCCAAACTCCGCGACGCAAAGTTTGTGCAATGTGCAACGAATTTTGGTGCTTACACAAGTCACAACGCCAGTCACCACCACGATCTCCACACCTAACTGCCGTGACCTGTGCGAAATTTTGATGATCTTTTTTTCGTTTTGCGCATCTCATCAATATACCTTTTCGGGTAGGTAGTCTGTTCTAAATAGAGATGCGGGTACGGAAATATTCACGCATATCGCAAAGATAACTTGTTCTGTTTATTCTCTTTATGAAATAATTATAAAATTTATTTACAGTGCAAAAATTATTAGAAATTATTGCTCGGCATAAATATCCACAACCTTACGTGCTTATAACTACCTTCATAGGTATCGTTAATTGTTAGGATTTACATTTCCGCATTATTAAGGAATTTTTATGTGAGGTGTAAAAATAATTGTATAAAGAGAATTGATTCGTACATGATTTTGTATTGCATTGTAAGAATTTGATTAATTTTCAAATATTTATTATTTATTATTTATAATTAAAGAATATATTTCTCGAAGAAATCAATAAACTTTTATTGCTATAATCAAATTGATACAGCTATCTATTCTGATAAAAGTTTTAATAAAATAAATATTTCTCTAATAGAATTCCGCTGGGAGTTTTGTTTTGTGTTTTTACAATATTTTATTCATATTTTGGCTAAATTTGTATGTTAAAAATTGTCTTTTTCTACAATTTATGACATGATTCTATATTGATTATCTCAACTAGATGAAAATGTTTAAGAGATTGTAACAATATGACTCAAGTTTCAACACTGTTCAAAGTCAATAACCTAAAATTTTCAGAACCCTTGATTAATAATTTATAGAACATTTATTTTGAATGAGTGGTATAATTTATAAATGCATTTTTGACAGCTAAGGTTCTTAGTACGGAACAAAACATAAGGTTTATTGTTATATTCATACAAATTCTTCAAGTTGGTAGTTTTGAACTTAATAGTTGATCGAATTAAAGTATTAAGGTCGCTAGCCCAAGATTCATCTTGATAATGGATCATTGATTAAGTTTTATAATCAAAATATTTTCTGTCTAAAAATTTGTTCAAGATAAATAGGCATCACAACAATCTTTTGAATAGTTCGATGCAAAGTACTGCCAAACTAATGGCACATAAGCGTTTAGTTTACTCGCCTCGTGACGAACGAGTAGATAGTACACACCTACTCTTTGTCGTAAACACAAATGCGACATTTTCTCGTGAGTTCGTAAACTGTATAAAAAACTTTGACTGTGCCCCGTGCACCGATTACCATTGACATTTGTGAGTTTATAGTTTTACACAACAATTCAAAATGTCAACTCACAGGGAAGCGATACAAAAACAAATTCAACAAGATTGGGCTAATCGCGAGTACATTGAAGTTATTACCGGCAGTATAAAAAAAATCACAGATTTTTTAAATTCTTTCGGTAAATCAAAATTTACTTTCTCTGTTCTCTGTGTCTTAGCAATATTCTATTTTGATTTTACTTTTACAGATATGTCCTGTAGATCTCGTTTAGCAGTGTTGAACGAGAAATTAACGACTTTAGAGCGAAGAATTGAATACTTGGAGGCTTGTGTATGTAATGTCACATTTGTAATTCCCAGTTGTTTTCTTGATTTATATTTAGCATTGAATTTATTCTAGGTGACTAAGGGAGAAACTTTGACGTAATATAAAGTGTCATCAATAAATAGCCCATTTAAAAATAAGCAACGATAAATTATTGTAAATATTTATACAAGAAAGTTTTCATAGATGAAAAAGATTAATAAATAAAGCTTAAGTTCATAAACTACCAACATATTGTTTTTATTTACTTTTGCATACAATATATTATTTTAAATAATATTTTTCAACATTTAATTAATAGGCGACGATTGGTTGTATCAAGCTAAGAATTGATTCAATTTTCAAGTTTATAGTTAAAATTTTTGTAATAATCTAATTTATCAAAAGGTCTCCATGGTTCTGGATTGAAGTTTCGGTATGGTACATTTCTCCAGGAGAAATAGCCTCTGACTGGCATTTCTTCAGGGAACAAAATATTTTTGGTTTTATAATTATGTTGTCGCTGATCTTTCTTCATGACAGCAATGAAAACCATAAGAGCTGTACCCCATCCACTAATCATTGGATGTCTCTGCCATGCGTGTAAAATGCTACCAGAGGCAAGGGCTATAAAAATATAAAAAATATTATTTATCATCAAATTTAAGAGTGAATAAAGTCAAGTAATGTAAAATTGAATAAATCAATATTTTAACACAAAATAGGCCATACCACCAAGAACGTAGTTAACTTTATCATCTTTCTTTCTAATCTTTGTTGAGACATAGGTAACTCCAGAAAAAGCCAAACACATGCCAGTTAATGGTACCATCCAGTAGCCAGCAGTATTAAAGAACTGTTTAGCATTTGTGCAATGCGAAACTAAACAAGCATCAAACAATGTACACCATGTTCCTGTAACTACCCCATAAGGGGCTAATCCCAAAATTTTCCCAATTGGGTCTTGTCCATCAGGCTTATCAAAGTATCCAAAGTTTTCAATCACATATAGTAGTCCTGGCATGATGCTAGCTGAAAATATTTGAAACTTATTATGAATTGATTCTATTCAATGATTGTTTATTTTGAATTTGATAAGGTTGAAATAGGTGTTGCATTGATCAGTTTAGGTTAAGTAGAAAGATTGAATAAGATTAACAAAATACAATTTGTAAACATGATATGGTTATTGTTCTTAATTAAAAAGCATTTACGTGTTCATTAACTAGTGAACTTTTCGACCTTTTTAAAATGTAAACAATCAAAAATGGTAAGAATTTTATGAATTCAAACAAATCTTACACTGACAAATATATACTACATGCAAGCAAATTTACTTTCGTGACTTAAGAACAATAATCTAAATAGATTAAAATTTAACTGATAACCAAAATTGATTAATAATTTCTTCTAACACAAAAACATATTTACTTAATAATCTCGCATACAGCTACGAAGGACTTATAGACGGACAGCCATCCGATCAGCTGGTGACATTACATAACGTTCACCAATCAGAATCGAGCATAAGACTTTCGAGCCAATGGCAAAATAGAATCTTCTGCTACAAAAGAATGTAGTACATTGATGGTCTGCTACGATATCGGAGTTTTTCAACAGCACTCGGTAGAATATTAATTTATAATAGAGATAAAAACGTCAAATTTTCGTCAAAATGCTACGAATTGTCGCTCCCCGTTTCGTATCAAAGGTATTTGTCCAGTATAAACTTTTTTATATTAAGATGTTTACTTCGGTTAGCACGCATTGAGGTCAAACATGTTTAGATATCATAATTAAATCTAAACTTTAATAAATTAACCCAATCAATAAATGCCGAATTCAATGAATGAAATACAAATACATAAATAATTTGACACAATCAATAAATTTATTCATAATTTTAATGCTCTCATACAGATTGATTTTAATGTTCAACTCATGAACATATTATTTACAATTTTCAGAGGTGTTTAGTGGTACTCAACAGAAGTCTAACATCAGATCAACATACAAGTAATAAATGTGGAGAGGATATTCCTGAAGTACCAGGATTAAGTGAAAAAGTTGTCAAAGTTCCAAATGAGCGTGAGTAAATAGATCAAATGATTTTGCGTTTACTTCTTAAGTGAAGGTTTACAATATTATAGAATAACTTGTCTTTTTTCTAATTTTATTTTAAATATGCCAAATATGAATAATGTTATAAAGTTATGTTATTTTTTAATTTCTTGTTTCAGGTGTAGGGTATGCAGGAGCATCAAAAGATGCAGAATATAAGTGTCCAGAATACTTTTGCTACCACGTAGATTCCTTTGGTGATTCGTTTGTTGAAATGGAAAAGTATAGATTGCCAGCACCATCAGCTTTGAAACCAAAAAAGTGAATATTATTAGAACATTTTGTGTTATTATTATGAATTTTGAGTGAAATCAAGAAAAACAATATTACTTTGTTATAAAATATGTACATTTTGGATCGAAAGAATATATGCAGTCAATAATGTGTATTCGATAATTGTTCATGTTTAGGAAATTGAAAAAAGTAAAGACAAAAAAATGTAATTATATAGATTCAATTCATTTGGCTTTTTGGTCGAGTTATTCCCATATTTGTAAGGAAAAAATTATTAATTGTTCATGTTTATACAATAATTAACGACTATTGCAATTAATTAAACAGTTCACATCTTCGCGTTGCATAATGTATATTTTATTTGGCAGCTTTCATATACTAATAAATATATATAAATTAACAATATAAAAAGGCTAACAATGTTTTAAACAAAAAATAAAATCTAGCGCCGCTATCGCCAATGTGTAGGTATCAGTAGCGACATCTATGGCAAGTAATTTGCCTATAATACATAACAATCATGAAATTACTCGACTGGTATATAATGTTTCATCGAATCGAAGTATTACCTCTGCAGCAGCACTTGGCTTGTCTCTCTCTCTCGCGCCCGCTGTGTTTACGCTTTCATCGGAGCATGCAGCGAACCGCCTATAGAGAGGATGAGCGATACTTAGCTTAGTGGAACCGCAGACTCGGCGAGAGTACAAGTACATTTCGTACGGGCGTTAATTCTCTAGTCGTGTTTGTGCAGTTCGTACGATAGTGCGTGTATGTGTGGATCTCAATAAGAGTCAAAACTGTGGACATTTCAATTAAGATTAGGCTAAAAAGGAAGGTAAAAGTTTGGAGGATTATATCGATAGTAAAGAGGGCCTACGTGATCGAAGCAAGTCATTAGAATGGCCTCCGGCTCGTTGTGGAGGCGCAGCAGCTCCAAGAGCATAATTCGAGCTGCAGTTTCACGTGTTTTCGCCAATGATAATTATTTGCAACGGCAGGTAGCCGAACCCTTGTACTGCAGCCGGCTCCGGTGAGTTCTTCATGTTATCACTTTTGTTTACAAAGCCCGCATACATCTATAATACTATGTAGCTGAGCAGCGCGCGACAATCTTGCGTTATTTCTTTTTGCGCTTCGTTGCGCGCTCCGTTTCGCATGCTGTATAGATGCATACCAGCGAAAAACTCGTTTCAATCCTTTCGGTATTTTTGCATTTCGATAACTCGTTTGCGTCGATGATTCGCCAAGAGTAAATACTTCAACTTTGTATGCGTGCAATATGTGGTGGAGTTCATCGATCTCTTCGTTACACGTTGATTGTACAAAAGGCACCAAGTCGTTTGTTTTTTCATTCATGTATTTTCGCACGTACACATTGTTATTCGCCGCAAAGGCTACCAGGTACGACGTTGCACTTATTGTTTACGTCTTGGATCGCATTTTTTTTATTATCGCTGACGATAAGTGCAGTAGATTACTCGGCAACTCGCAAAATGATGCGCTATGCGAGATTTAAAATTTACTTTGCTATTGATTGAGTGAATGCAAGCTGTCTTCTGTTTTTGATTTTATACTCTTTGAGTGGAAAAATGTAGCTTTGAAAGTATCTTTAGTCATCATAAATTGATTGATAATGGAGTATTGATAAAACGAATCGACTACTTCACAATCCACATAGATGTTGAATAATATGTGCGTGTAGAAAAAAAAGATATGATATATTATTAAAGCAATAGTCGCGCGATTCTGAACTTTTGCAAAGAATCTTACATTTAAATCAAAACGATATGCTTTCCGTGAACTCCGCATATGTACTTAGCAATGGTAATGAGTGTTTAACAAACACTTGACATTGCGAAAGCGATGTCTTCTCGTTGGTTCTTTTAATGGAAAAATAACCCCGAGATAGAAATGGTCAGTCCAAAGAGTTGAAGCGCTTCGAAAAAGATGAAATGAAATGTGAAAGTTAATACATATTGCTTCAAAATAGCGTAGCTTGCGATGTGTCGCCAGTGCGGATGGACATAAATGCCGTAAGACAGGAAAGTCGGCTCCGAAAGTGAATAAGAAATCGGGTTATCGTAACTAGCCATTTGACACGTTTTTTTGTCCCCCATTTCAATGGACAAAAATCGAGATTCGTACGAAGCGACGAGTGAACCGAACTTGCTCTGATGCAACGGATGCATCCTATATAGCGTGCATCGTGCACTAGGCTCACATTCTGATAAATCATGGGCGCGTAATGTATACGTGAGAGGATGAAAACGAAATTTTACGAACGCAAAGTTAGCATTAAAAAGTGCTCGCGTACATTTACCGTTGGCTAATACTGATTATTCGAGTGGCCACGAGTGTGCCGACAATTTCTCGTGCGAATAATTTATAATTATATACATTAAATATTAAAGCACGCGTGCTTTCTAAGCTGTCATCAATCTGGCTGGAAAAACTTTCTTTTTTTTATCGCTCATCCTCGAGCGTGAAAGATCGAGTAAAAATTTACGCTCATTCTGGTTATAATTAAATATTTTATGCGTAAATAAAAATGCGTAAACTTATTCATAAACGCGCTAAACATTTTTTATCTAATAAATACGAAAATCGCAAACAAAAGATAAAGTTGAATAAAGAGCAGCGCACACATTAATTAAGCATTGTTTGATGCCTGAAAACACCTGTTACGCGCGCGCGAGCTTCTCCTACAAAGTCAATCTTTCATACAGCCTGAGCGAGTGCACGTTGTGCGTTTCAGATGTTTTCAAACATATAGTAAACAACACTCGGTGATCCTATCTCGCTGCAGCAGTTTTAATCTCGCGGGCAATTATTTGCAATTCTTTAGGCTGCGAAACGGAACTTTTTCTGCGTTTTTTTTTCATTTCATCAAAGATAGTTCTGTTTTTACGGCTCACGAGCGAACGTCAACGATCGGAAAAATGAGTGTACGCGCTCGGAGGACAGTTTTCAAGTTTATCGCGTATTGTTTCTCATAACAAATTCGATTGCTTTGTCTTTTTGCGCCGGAGACACGTCACGCGAGCATACGTGCGGCGCCGATCGTAAATTGCTCGCTCGTATTCATATAAAACTTTGAAATTTACCTCGTTTTCTCGCGAGAATCGCGCTCCTATATGTAGTCCAGCCGAGCTCCTTCGCTCCACGCTCACGGCACGATCAATTCTAATTAATTTAAATTACTATTTCTAAGCATGCGCAGTATCGGACGTAATAGATTTGACTTTACATAAATGACTCATCGCGTCGTATTTCCGTGCGCAGCGATCGAAAATACGCTTTTTTTCCTGCCGATTTCCACGCTCATATTATGCATGCATTTCAGACGGCAGCAATTACACACACTGACTTGTTTACTCTATTTCCGCAGCTAATTACATAATTGTGCTTTATATTTAGAACCGAAGCAGCGGAGTTCATTTCTAGTCGATTTTACGACTACTTGCTAACATATTAAATACGTGTTTCTTTCGCCTTAACGATAACGCAGAGAACAGGACAATGAGTCTCGCTTTGAAAGAACGACACGCGCGATAGATACGATTGTTTACATCTTTGAACAGAGAGACGGACTCGAGCGAGCATGTAAAAAGCAGCTCTAGCGAGAAATGTATTCTCGCGTGTAAGCGTAATAAGCGAGTTCTGCGGAGATGTGCGACGACTGTCGACCTCGTCCTTCATATCAAGAGTTGAAAAAGTGTCCAGTCAAGATATATATATGATTGTCACAACTTTGATTCTATCGAATGTGATTTTTCTATTACTCGAGAGCTGTAAGATACTCTACCGGCGCTCCATTTTTGTAAATGTCTATCAACCATTGCGAACAATGTATCGGCTGTGTTTCGACAATGGAATAGATATTATAATTACTGGTCGAACTAGCCGACCGGGCAGCACACGTCAGCCTATCGGGACAAAGTAATTGTCGCGCAGAAAAGAAATTACTTATTGCAGATTCGTATCGCATTCGTTGCGACTATTGTTATTAAAATATAACTCTCGAAATAATATTAAAATGCTACTAGCCATGAGTATAAGTAGGCGCACGTTAGAGAGTGAACTTTCAGTTGGTCTTGTGCGACCTCAACTTTGACTCTCTTCCTCTCTTGACAACGTTCAATTTCTTCTCGTTCTACTCAATTAATCTCGTTTGAACAAATGACTGTACTTTATCATTGAACGATAATAGGTATATAACTGGCTCGTACAAATTTATGTAACGGACAAATGTGTGCCGATTGCAGTGCATTGAACGAGTACGCCAGCATACAGTTTCATTTACTCGCAATCGTTCATAGATCTATAAAATGACTCGAGTTACGTCTTTAATTTGTGCGACTCTCTATTTTGAAATGAGTAGCATTTTGAAACGCTCGAGCAGTCGACAAAATTCGCCAATGTGAGGGAAATGTATTATCAATGATTGCTGACCAAGCGTTACGTGGAGAGCCCATTCAACGCGTCTGAATCTCAAGCTTTATAAAGACTTTCTAGAATTTCACGTACGGATTCGAGCACAGCGTTACTGCTTTCTCATTCTTATCAGTATTGCTATGCGCTGCACGTACAAGTTCGCATACTGCATATTATGAAATCGGCACTAAATGCAACTAGTCTATTATATAATAATGTATAAATAATTTAATGCATCACGAGGTAATTTTGTCTACTTTTGTCAATTCAGAATGGCTTCGACACTGGACGTGAACAGAAAGGACATGCACTCGATGCCGCAGACTAGCATCTTGACCGCCAGGGACGAGAGCCGAGAGATGATGGCACTTTGGCCGGACGTCGTGCGAGATCTCACGGACGCTGGACGTTATCGCGACGTGCCCGACGCCACCAAGTGGCTGGCCAAAGTAAGATCGATTTTATTTCTTTATCTATATTCTGTATACTCTTTTCGTATATAGTCACGTGCTAAATGATCGGTTTTTTCGCACAGGTTCTGCAGGGCAATGTCCCGAGTGGCAAGAAAAATCGAGCCCTTTCATTAGTCTATGCTTACAGAAAACTCGTACCGGCCGATGAGCTGACAGACGACAACCTTCGCCTGGCACGAATTTTGGGATGGTGCGTTGAAATGGTACGTATCGATACTATTTTTGTTTTCTAATCCACTCGATTGTCTACTCGAACTACAGAATAATCACGCAAATCATGCGCAGTTTCAGGCATCCTTCCTCGTTCTAGATGACATAATGGACCATTCACAGATGCGGCGTGGCCAACCCTGCTGGTACCGCCAGAATAATATCGGCTTGGCTGGTATCAACGACGGCAATCTCTTGGAGTCGTGCTCCTATCAATTGCTGAGAACCCACTTCAGAGGCCAACCTTGTTATGTCGACTTGTTAGAGACGCTCATGGAGGTTGTTACTATTTCTTATTGACCATTAATTAGCGCCAATAACTGCAATTAACACGAGCTTTTTCATGTCTTTATTGCAGTACTCGCATAGGACGACTTTAGGCCAGACTCTTGATTTATTATCGACGAATTTCGGTAATAAGCCTAATCTTAACTTGTTTACCATGGATCGATACAATTCTATTTGCAAGTATAAAACTGCCTACTACTCTTTTGTTATGCCTGTTCAACTTGCCATGTATTTTGTGAGTACGATTTTTAAATTGAATCATTTAAAAAAATACACCACGCTTCATGTCGCCGATCGATTATTTTCTACCAGGCTGGTGTCAAGGACCCGGAGGTTCACAGACAGGCCAAAACTATCTTACTGGAAATGGGCCACTTTTTCCAAGTGCAAGACGACTACCTCGATTGTTTCGGCGATCCACAAGTCACTGGTAAAAATGGAACAGACATTCAGGAAGGCAAGTGCTCTTGGCTTGCTGTCGTGGCTTTGCAGCGAGCAACACCGGCCCAAAGAAAGGTTTTCGAGGTTTGTCAATTTTTTCAATTATTTTCGATTCATTTATTTGATCCTTTGTTTTACACAAAAATCTTGTTCGACTTTTAGGAGTGCTACGGTTACGAAGACCCAGAAAAAGTTGCCAAAGTCAAGCAGTTGTACAATGATTTAGGATTGCAATTGACCTATTCGGTGTATGAAGAAGAAAGTTATAATTTAATGAATACTCATATCCAACAAATTTCCAGAGGATTACCTCACGATTTATTTTTCAAATTTCTTGAAAAAATATATCGCAGAGATTCGTAAGGTCTTAATTTAGCTCAGTCTTACGAATTCAATCATGTATATTGAAAAAAGCTTTTTTACTATGCTTTACAACAGGACGATATAAATATTTATACATATTTCTATATTAAATATTTCATATCATTCATGATGTTTATATGACTAATATAACATTGAAAAGTGTATGCGATGTAATTCATTTGGGTTGAAATTTATAAAAACGCTCAAGTCAGGATATTTTCACTTTTGTGCTTCAAGAATAAAAAACAAATATTTTTTTTGAATTTTGTAAGAGAGAATAATGCGAATGTTGCTAAACATTCAGATTTTTGGTTTGTTTAGAGTATTTACATTCATTTTCAGTAAAGGTATTGAAAAAAGGTCATTTTAAACTCATTTGTATTAATCGCAACTTTATTTAGTGTACTCATTTCATTGAATTCAGTGTTATATTTTTTGTGAACATAAAAACTAATTTTTTATCTATGAACTAGATAATAAAAAAACAAAATAATTTTTATAAAAGAAATTGAAAAGTTGAAGAACCAAGAAATCTACTGTTACCGATCTATATATGAAATGGTCGATAATGTGAAAAATGTTCAAGCCGTTGCCAATTTACGGTAACTGAATGAATAAAACAATGTTTAAATCATTTTTTTGAGTCATGTGAATGCTGCGATGACGTAATAAACATTTATTGTCTATGAGTGCTAGACCACTGTGTAATGAACCTCTTTTTTTTAATTATGTTCATTTAGTGCAGACTTGATTGTACAATTCATTTATTTTATTCAAGAAACATGATTCTTGTAAATGTTGGGTTATATTTATTAAATTTGAAAAATGATTTAGCGCTAACTACTGAAATGTAACTTATACTGAATATGTAACTTTTTATCTGCGAGTTGTTAAATATTATACTTGCAAAGTTAAACAAATCATATGAAATAAAATGAGATATTTTTAACTCAAGCTTATATTATTTCATCACTTATAAATAAGAAGAAAACCAACTTCATTCACGCGTAGGTGTGATTTCTATCAAATAAAAAAGAGGCTGTTAGGACAAATAAAAAATGGCATTACACGATGTACATTGCAAAAAATGACAATAAAGACTTTGGAAATGGTTAAAATAATATACGTTATCATTACTTAAGTCTAGTTTAGTAACTTTATTTTGTCACTCTTGAGCATAAAAACTTCTTGTTCCATAATAATGGATGTATCGATGTCTGTCGCACCAATAAGTATATACGTATACACACTAACATGCATGTATCGTTAGGTCGGCCGCACATCTGCTTAATTAGATTTGAAAGCACTGCAGGGTTTCCATAAATGAATCTCGAAGCCTTGCAAGCGAAGACTCGCCTCTCAGAGTTGCTTTGACCTACGGCAGGACAAGTTGTACCGCAAAATAGACGTGGGCGTAATATTTATTTTGTTCAGAAAGAGAAGTCGAGATCATTGTTAGTTTAAAATTCAGTTGGCCAGCTTGCGTTGCGCGATTATATTCTCAGCAAAAATTCACCGGATTCAGGTATTTCCCAAAATCATACTTTCAACACTGATCACTCGTAACATCGATTGATCATTCTCTTAGAATATTCATCGATGAGCATAAACGTATACATTGCGATGCACTCGTAAACATTTCTAAGCGCAATATTAATACCAAGAAGTGTACTCCGAAATTTACTTGCTAAATGACACGAAATCGCCATATCGTTAATCAGGTGAACATTGAATTTTGTAAATAATCGTGAATATTAAGGAGTATAACGAAACAGATTTACATTACATTCAGTAGCATCGATCGCGCAGCGCGTTAAAGTAAAACAAACAAGCCTAAAAGCGATTACTAAATTTACTCTGTGTCGTCAAGTCCGCCGTGTCACTGGATAAGATCGACCTTGATGCGATCGGTATTCACTAGAATACGATGCATATTTGATTCCAGACTAAAAGCATGATGTTTCGGATCCGCGATCAGCGTTAAATGGCTCGTATATAAAATATTATTGGACAAAAAATAACACTTATTCATTTCGATCGGGTTGGATCGATGAAAAAATAATATTTTTCCATTCTCTTGTTGTGCATTGTGAGTTAAATGAATTTAGCTTTTCGGTTCAAATAATGTCGTAGCAGCGCGAAACACGATGCTCGAGCGAAAGCATAAATTTCGAAAGTTGGAAAATAAATATATTCGCAATTTCGGTATCCTAAATGGGTCGTGTAAAAATGTATGCATACACATAATAATACGTTGGCTTAAGGTCAGCGATCGGCTGGCCTCTTTGGGAGGAAAAAAAATCAACGAACTTCCGTTGGTTTTCAGTTGACAGACGATCGGCACCGACAATAGGTACACCGAGCCACCGGTGGCTTCAAAGTAAAAAAATGACGAATTTTCGCTTGAAATTCTTTCGCGCATCGTGAAAGTGTCTATTGTGATGAACGGTGCTTCACTCGCTCGAATTCGAAGCGATAAGTTAAAACTATACTAAAAAACTTCTTTTTAAAAAAGAATCTTGTAGCCGATTTTATTCCGGATCAAAAATCTGATAAAAAAATTCCTATTCACAACCGAGCAGATTCACAAGAGCTCATCGTTCCAGAAGTGCTCGGTAAGAAATCGATGGAATAATTCAATTGATAATATCGCGAGTTTTCATAAATATGTGATATAAGGTGACTATACCAACACTCGGATACTTTTGTTCAAGTCATATAAATGGTTGGACGAGATTTATAATAATTTCAACTGCTTAGTCGATTTTATTATTATTTATTAAGTAAAAAGTGATTTTTAAATAAAACAATGGAATTGTATCGTATTAAAAGGTATTCGAATATCGGCTCAACGTGATATTTTTTCTCAAGACCAATTATCAGTCTCTTTTTAATTTAAAATGACGACGTTTCAAACAATATTCTTCAAAATCACTTAATGAATGATGACAGCTTTAAGGGTAATTTTCACATTTTCAATGTCAAAATAAAAAATTGAATCGTTTGTCAGAATTTTACAAGCATATGGCCGGATAATAGAGAAAATCTCTTGTTAGCTGGACGGATATGGGTAAAGTCATCGTATAAAATAAATAATCGATCGTGGAGTATAGTATGGAAAAGGTTGAAAAATCGGTTGGAGCTCGCTCGTGACTCGTGAGTCGGCATTGCCTCGGGACGATCGTTCAGTCCAGAAGCGCACTTATGGCTCTCGCACAGGCGCCGGCGACAGCTACACACGTAGTCGGTGGCAAAGTCATATCATAGCATCGGGTTCGTAGGCGCGAACGCGAATAGGATGCAAAGCTGAAGTCGGCTCGCGTGCACAGTTTCGTGCACGGAGCAAGAAAGAGGCAAAAATGCACAAAGGCACACATGCTAGTAGGTGTAGGGGGATTATCGGGACGGTGTCGGGTGTCGGTGGCCGTCGGTGGGTGTGTGGGTCGGGGACTCTACTATGCACGCTGGGGTTCTTGCGCGCAAAAACACAGGCGCGCAGCTACGTACGTCATCGGCATATACGTAGACTCGCGCTTGTGTATATATGTTTGTGTATGCATGCACACAATTACAGCTCTTGGAGGCAAAGATATTGATTTTCGTCTCGGTGTATCAGGCGGCAGAAGCAGCAGCAGCAGCAGTGCGCGGCAGCAGACGCGACGACGATATAGGAGCAGCAGTCAAAGAGCCTGCAAGTGGCGCGTGTGAGCGCAAGCGCTGAAAACCGACCGGCGGCAACGGCGTCGGCGGCTGCGGCGGCTGCGGCGGCGGCGAGCACAGCGGCAGCAAATACGACTTGCACGTACGATACGTGTATGCGCGGAGCCCCTATAGCCTAGGCCGCGAGTGCGAGCGAGACGGAAAATAGCCAACTTTGAGCGAGACTACGAGGGGGTGCGGCTGTAACCATGGATCCCAGTGTACTCGCCAACATGGACAAGGACGCATTGAGGAAGCAAATCGAGAACATGAAATATCAGGCCAACATGGAACGGTGGCCGCTTTCCAAAAGTATCGCAGCGTGAGTAATGACTAATCACAACATAATATAATAAACACACACACAAACAACAACAACACTGACACAATTATGCACAATTGCAAGAAAGCGAGTTAAAGTCAGGGAGGCGCGCACGCGAGCGAACGAGTCTGGCAGCTTCCGAGAGCAGGCCAGCTTTGGCTTTTCATTCGGGCAGATAAAGCGGAGAGCGAGAGCTCGAATGCACGGCGTTTTAAACACATCTATAAATATATGGCGCGCCGATTCGCGACGATATTCGCGCGCTGCTACTTATGAATAATTTCCATCGTCTTTCGGGCCGCGTCCGAGGCGCTCCGAGGCCAGGCCTCGCTGCTGTAAACGACTCGCTACTACCACTACCACCACTTGCTACAACACTAGTGCTACGTGGGTGTGTACGTGCGTGCATCATAGCTACACCAGCCACTTCTCCACTGCTTTATGCTTCGCGATCTGTTTGTACGTGTTTGTGCGTCTGTGTTTGTGTGTGTGTACGTGTACCGTCCAGAGCGTAGGTGGGTGCGCGTGGACGAGTGAGTCCCCGCAGGACTCGCAGCTCTCTTTCTCTCTCCCTTTCCGTTGCCGCTGCTTCTGTGCGAGAAGGGATTGGAGCGAGCTAGTGGAGGAGCTCTCACACACGTGCCGGTTAGCTGCTACTCGGCTAGCCCTTCTGGCCACCATATTTCTTTCTCTCGGTCCGCAGCGGCGTCGAGCTTCTACGAGAGCTTTTTCGACTCTCGCTCTCTCTCTCTCTCTCTCTTTGTCGCTCTCGTTGGCTGCGCGTGGGTCGTTGCTGCCGTTGGCGCCACGACTTTCACATGTAGTCGCTCGGAAGGTGTGTCTGCTGGTCGGTTGAAAAAAAAGCTCGCGCGATGCTAATTATCCCTCGATCCAACGAGATACGAGTCGTACGTGCATCGTGTACGTCTCGCAGCGAGAGGGCTTAGTCGCTCTCCATAATCGGCCTGTTACAACAGAAAGAGAGAGAAAAAAAAGAGAGAAGAGCGTCTCGTGCACTGGCTCTGCGCCGCGCGCCACCACCGAGCTCTATAAGGAAATAGGTCGAGGGTGTTTGCGCGAGCACCCGATGAACTGTTGCGGCTAGTCGAGCCCCGACTCGCTGCTCCTTCTTTGCTCGCATCGACGAGCTAGCTCTCCGTGCATCGACGAGCTAGCTCTTGCTCTCCTGCACAATATTATACCCAGATTTTTCTCTCTCTTTTTTTACGCTTGTCTATCCCGTTGGATGCGCTTAACCAATCCTACGTCCAAGTTTGATATTTTTTTTATACTCGCAGCACCGTATCATTTTTTGCAGTAGTAGACTGAATCGTTATTGTTTTTGCACGCATCGAATTAAAATTAAAAGCATGGCACGAGAAAGCCTCGTAATTTTTACACCTCTTCGCCAAAACATCTCACTCTTGCAATTAACTTGGCTTAAGCTGTCAAACTAATACATTTTGCAAACACATGAACTCTTGCTACTTTGAATGTGTATTTTTTCGCCTCTCTCTCTCTCTCTGTATTTGAGTGCGCACACCTACGTGACACTCGTAATTTACGAGACAATTGATAAGATTATAAGTACCACCTCCCCCTCTCTCTTTCTCGCTGCTTGTGTACACGTAATAAATGCACATTATATCTATGTATGTCTGCGTGCATGTGCGGGCCTATGTGTCTTTCGCTCCATTATTTGTGCATGCATATTTGTTACAATTATTTTTTTTCCTCTCCTGCTGCCGCTGCACGATTGCGCTTTCATATAGCGTATACGAGCCAACGATTCATTGTACTGACTATACTTGCGCACGGATGGGAGAGCAACAACGTTTTTTTTTCTCTTTTTGTTCAACTATCGGTTCGCGCGTCATATCTCATCCGCAAGCTTCGCTACTATTTTCCTTGCTATATCTACTTTTTTACTTCCACATTTTTTTCCTCGCCTTTCTTGAATTATATTTTAGTCGATAAAGCGTGCAAAATTAAAAAATAAAAAAAATTGGACCGACCGGATGTTAACTGTGTATGCAGTCGAATTTGATACTCCTAATCATGAGTGGGCAAAAATACACGAGCACATCCGCAGAGCCGCACGCACGACAGAAAGTCGAGCCAACGCACTCACACAGTCGCCCGTGAACATAATACACGCAGATACTCGTCCATGGAAAACTCATCGAATTAAAGAAGATTTGATTACACTCAGTTGACGATCGAGCGGACGCGCATCACAGAGACCGAACGTTGGCCGGCTAGCGAGCAACGACCAGCGACGGACGCTCTCGTTAAGCGACTTGACGTCATACTTTTTATTGTCTTTCAAGACTCGAGTCGTGTACCATTCCTGCCGCGACGATACACAGTAGAAAAAAGAAATGGGCCAAATGTAGCAACAAACGTTCAAGAGATTTTGATCATTATAATTTCGTTATCTATAAGCAATGAAATTGATATGAGGCTGCAGTATGCACGACGACGCCTGCGTGATAGCGACTTGTACGCATTTGATCGTTCCGTGCTCGGGCATAAATGCGGGCGAATTTCGTAAACGCGCGAGGAAAAAAACGAAAAACGCCGTGCGACAGCCAACGCCAGGAGCGTATTGCAGATGTGGGAGCTTGCACGTAATGCATGCGCTTAGCTGACTCGAGCCCGTTCCGCATCCGTAGCGTTGCGCGTTGCCACGAGAACTCGATGCGATGCGTACGTAATACATCTACCGATGTCTGTTCCTGCGTGCATTGGCCAGTTTCGAACGAGCACAGGCCGCCTACTGCATATTTTACATCGAGCCCGATGTTTTCTCGTATAGCTCGGGCGAGCAGGAAAAGTTTGTAGTTTTCGCGCGCGACCGTAAGAGCGGGGCATCCAGTCGATCGTTGCTTTTGTTTTGCCGAGCCGGGACAATTAGAATTTAAAATTTTTAATACTCGCTCGCGTGGAGAGAAAACGGCACGTGGCACGCGAACGCTCTACATGAAAAGAACCTTTGACTTAATTACCCCATGCCAGCGTACGTTTGAACACACACAGCGCACATAAACACAGGCCGACGAGTCGCGTAAATTAATGTTTGCGCTTGCGGAATCTATTTATAATGAGAGAAAGAGAGAGAGAGAGAGACCACATAGATGCCTACGCGCTGCGGCTGCACTTCAAACAGTCAATTGAACATTTGGAGCGACAGCAGATTTCGGCGACGAGCGTATGCAGCCGATTCGTCGCGCTCTAGCCCGTTTCGAGGATTTATTGCTTTACGAGACGGCGCGTGCCAAAAGTCGACTCGAGCATCCATTCGCGTACAAGTGTCCTGTGCCGGCTGAGTTTCTCTCCTCGGGATCGCAGGCCAAAACACGAAGGAAAAAGTAAAAGAACCCAACGAGTGCGGAATTGTGCGAGCGTGAAAAACAAAACAAAGCGATGCATACCGATTATTAGACTTCAATTGCCGACTGCTATTTATTAGTTTGATTGCATATCGAATTTTTGATAATTATAGTTCGTCAATGATGTTAACTTTTCGCACATTGAATGATTAAGCGGTCAAATAGTTTACGCCTTTTCATGTGACTTTTCCTACTTAAGTTATGTCACTCGACTACATAATTGCAAATATTATGCTTTGCAATGATCACTCGTTGCTTCGTCATATACATAATTCATCATACAGGGGTATTGTTTTAGTTATTAAATTTTTTTCTGGAAAAAGCAGCCATTTTTCTTTCGGTGGATGTGCATTAAAAATATTATTTTGAAAAGGTGATTTTTGATCAGAATTTATTGAAAAAAGCTTAGAGATATGATTCATTTACTTTCAGCTAATTAAGTTTTTGTTTTCACAAATGTGGCGTAGTTTCTTAAACAAGCAAAGAGGGAAATTTATTAGATCATTGGTTAATTTTCTCCTTTCTAAATAATTACATATTACTTTGCGTTCTGCGGACATTAAAATGCTCATAATTGACGTATACCACAAAGTAATCATGATTGTTGGCAAGCTCAAAGCCGCGGAGAAAGAGACTTTTTAAAAAAAGAATCAGAAAGTTTACGTTGACTTTACCCGTCTTGTAAATCGGCGTATAAAACCAAAACTACTGGTTTGCGAGGATTTTGCTCGCTGCCGGCCACAAAAAAGCATAATCAGACGCAAGGGCCTGTTTTTGCATAGCGTCATCAAATTATACACTCGTACGATATTGTTTGTGAAATATTTGAATGTAGCGTTCGTATCGGAGCGACACGTGCGTCGTACGTAAATTGACAAGTGCGGTCTTGGTGGTCTTTGCCGTCTCGCGGCACCTGTACACACACATGCACACACGATAACGAGTACGAATTTTTTTGCACCGCCAGAAAAAAAAATGAGTATCGAGAGCTTAAAGTGTATATGCGCGAGAAAGATGCACGGGCGCATTAAAAACGTTTACGTAACGCGAAAGCGAGCGAGGAGTTTTTGCCGTCGTGCGCTCGCGGCACCAGGGACGACGACTCGTATCACGAGCAGCCTAGAGTGAGCGACGAATTATTATCATTATTAGTTGTTGTTTTTTTTTTGCCTCTTTTTTTTTACATAACGCTCGCTCGCTCGCTCACGCGCCTCAGTTACATTATCCTCGCGCGTACGTATAGACGTTCGTTATTGTATCTTCTGCACTCGTACGTGCACCTGCTGCTGTATGCGTCGTAACGAGGAGGACTACTCGCGTTACACGCTATATAGGTGCGGAGCTCGTCGTCTTTGGTCGTGCGATCGCTGCTGCATCATATTCGAGAGTCTGCGACAGTTGCCGGATTGAACGGATTGATGCAGTTATGTGATTTATCGTTACTTAACTCGGGCCCCGCCACCTCTGATAATGTAAGCGATCGGCCGCAGCTCGACATTAGATAACGAGCCATTGTGTGTTTTCATCGCTCTCCTCGGTGCAACTGTAATTCGCATCAATCGGATCGCTCGACGTAGCCGCTACGAATGCCAGTATATGTTTTTCGCT